AGATGGATCTGTTCGCATTTTAATTACACCATAAATATACCACATATAATCATCCATACCACGTGGATCTTCTAATCGAGCCAAATAATGTGTACCAGAATTGATCTCAGAGAGTTATTGGTGTTAAGGAACCCATCTACTTACCTCAACGCCAATCGGACCGTTCTCGTCGGCAAGTGAATACTTACCTAAAAGTTTACCCCAACCACTTATTTCACAACTCAAACCAGTAAAGTCGGTATTCAATGTGGCTAATTGTATAGGACTAACTTGAGGATGACTTAAATCAACATCTCCACTTAACTCCAGTACGGCTACATCATTAGCAAAACCATCTAGATTGGTATTACCGTTATATGATGGATGCTGAAAATAATTGGCAATCGACGTTATAAAATACCAGGTGCAGGGTGACACAAGGTGTTAAGATATTGTTCTCAATTCCGAAACATTTGATCTGGTTAAAGCTGTCATGCTTTACTTTGGCTAAAATTTGTTATCAAAAAAATATTTAGACCGCCGGTCCGCCTTTGGACCGCCTACTACCAAATGCCATATTTGTTAAAGAAATATGGTCGCCTCTCACCAACTATAAAAGCCATATTTTGCGATGACGAAGAAGGACGTTCGTTCGTCCACAGAGAATACGAAACCATTAACGGATTGTCAAAACGGTATACGCGATATATGGTGAGCTCTAAACTGAAAAAAGATCTTACCACATGTATACGAGTGACGTTGAAATACTGCTCTGTTCCATCATCGTGTAGACGTTGATGTTGTCCTAAAACTACCTGATACTCAGACGGGCTGTTAAAGGAAAACAGACAATTTATCTCGCAGTTCCATTAGAATGTTAAGGTGCTGAAGTGATATAGGTGTGAGGTTGGGTATTATGAATATAAGTACGTACTGCGGGAAGCATGAAGCAAGCAGCATCATAATATTACGAAACAATATTGCTTACCAATAATGGCCAATAAGAGTCCAAACGAATTCATTTTTTTTTTTATCTTCAGAGGTGTGAAATGTTATCAATGGGATTAAACGAATTGCTTATCATTTTAAAGTTGGTCTCCCAGATTTCTGATAAATTTTCAGATTTTACTGAAAGATCTTCAGTTGATTATGAAGACACTCATGAAAGGCGGTGGGTGCAATCTTCGTGAAAATAGCAACTGTGTTCAACAATTTATAGATACTGTAAATATTTTGACCTCAACATTAGTTTTTCAGCATACATGTAGGATCTTCTCGATCCCATAGAGTTCTAAACGCGTTCCAGAACAGATCGCCGAATCTTAGCATTTGTTTTGAACATGTCCAATTGCACCATGCCTGTCGTGTCCACCGCACTTTTACCAAGCTAATGGCGACCGTTACACGCTCTGAGCTACTTTTCCGTCGCAACAGTAGCGCAATAAGAATGCCTGTCCGATATGACGGGAAGATTAGTCGAATCGATTGTATTCTTTATGAGATCTTCGTAAGATATTTTGACCGATGAAAAGAATCGAAAGGGGTACACTTTTGTTTAAATTTCACAGAACCTATTCTTTAAATATGATTATAGTAGACGACAATACTTGGTGATTTATTGCCTGTTATCCACTTTATGTTCGAATTAAATGTCTTTGTGGGTCTCAAGTTGGCAAGGAGTTGTTTTACATTAGCATAAATTTATGGTGTCGTTAAGTTGTTGACCCACACTATGAGATATGATGTGAACTTTACCAGTTTATTATGGTAATAGTAACCAAAGACACTGTGATCCTAAGAAAATGTACTTGACAATAGACTCGTCGTAGAGACGCTTATACATCATAATTATGTAGAACCAAAACATTACTATTTGTGCGCTTTTCAGAAAGATGAGCAGTACAAGAACACACTCACGCACCTCCAGTTACACTTCAAGCATGCTGATTAAGAAGCGGCAGATCAGCCACATATCTAGGGAATAACGGTTGTAATAGTAAGCAATCACACAATGATCTTTAAAAATGTACTTGGCGAAGGATTGAATCGCAATTAAAATGATTGCGCTTTTCAGAATTATGAGCAGTAGGCACCTTCATAGTTTTGGGCCCATGGTGGCTTTTGCAGTTAATGTATAAGACGAGGTTCGTAATAAATTAACATACATTGTAAAGACGCTAAAACACATCTGTTGAGGTTACTACATTATTCTGTAGAGCTTTAGATTAAGGGGAATAAATTGAAAAAAAACTGATATTGAACTAAATTATAATTCTAATGTATCTAGTTTAAGAAAGGATCAATGAATGATCTGAAGCTTGAGACTCGTCCATAAACACTGGGGTAGGAGGTCAAACAGCTACCAACAACCCATGATGTAATACCAGCTAATTTACCGTTACAGTACATTGGTCCACCACTGTCACCCTGAAATCAGAAATAAATGAATGATCTCAAGCTTGAAACTCTTCCATAAACACCAGGATAGCAATAGCTGGGCATGCAGCAACCAATAACCCATGATGTAAAACCGCCTACTTTACGGTTGCAGCATATTGGTCCCAAGCTGTATAGATAATGGATTTTTGCAGTTCGATTAGCAAATCAAGTATGATTTCCCCCTGTTTCTTTTCCCTGCTCAGTTCAGAATAACGATATGCTTTTAAACTACAGCTATTTCAATGTTCGTAATATAACAGATGTATTGGGCAAAATCTCACTGATGGCATTGCGCAACGTGATGTCCGTTACCATAAAATAGAAGATCGGTCACTCGATTGAGCATAGTGACAACTGTAACGGTATTGCACCAGAACTAATATATTTCACTTACGTTGCAGGCAGATTTTCCAGATGTTTGGACGCAAATATGTGAACTCAAAATAGCAGCATTACCAACATTTGTCATAGCAGATAAACACTGTGCGTTGGAGATTTGAGTCATTTCAACTTTCTGTAAAGTATTAGCCAAGCTACCACCACCTAATAGAATAAACGTGAAGGTACATAATATAACATCTTTAATCTTGATCACTTCGGTGAACCCTTGTTTTGAATGCTTCTTCAAGTTTTTTATTAGTTACCATAGTAAATTCGTAAGCCTACATACGATAAATTCTGTGGAAGTCAACTCGGTGATGTGAAATTTAGCACAAGCTAATGGGGCAAAGTGCAAAGGATTTACCAACATAATATTATATGTCTACCAAATGCTTTAAACAAGGATTTAGTAACCAAGCCCAGCTTACCGACAAGACGTCCCCATCCACTGATGGTACAGGTCTGACCAGTGAAATCATCATTAGTCTCAGCTAATGAGATTGTTGAGATGTAGTTGCTACCAGTATTGGCATCAGCAGAAAGTTCCAACATAGCCATATCATTAGGGAAACCAGCGCCATTTGGATTGTATCCTGGGTGCTAATGGAAAGTGAAAAACAAAATTTTATAAAGGTAGAAAAGCCCGATACTCGGAGCTAAGTCTATATTTATTCATATCTGACCATATTGATTTATATTTAATTCAAAGGGTCATACACAAATTAAATCTGAACTTACGATTGTGATTCTAGTGACGTCCAAGTATTGTTCTGCTGAGTCAGCATTGTTTCGTCGGTGACGTCCTAAAACAATTCGGTAATAAGAGGCACTGAAATAGAATTATCATCATGTATAATCCTGTATCATTCTGTACAGTAGATCAAAAATATTTAGGCATATAAATCATGACACTGTTCAAATCTTAAACTCGAATAATCTTCTTTATTTTTGGACAATAAGAAGTACTTATTTTAATTTGTCCTTATAAAACCTCTAAATAAAGTGGATTACTCTTATATATAATTAAATCATCCATGAAAGTGCTGAGATATTTTTAATCACACCAAATATCATTGTTTGACTATACTTGCGATGTCTATTTCAAATATCTAAGAATCCAGTATAATGAAAACTACTTAAAATATGAATATAGTAAAATAAATGAACATGAATACACTATGCATAGAATATCGTCTAATTTTGAAAGGACGAAACAAGACATTTTATTCCATTTTAGTAGGAATTGTTTCAAAATATGTTTAAATTCACCCCATAAATTGACGGCGACATATATTGATAAACATCCTATGAATCAAAACCCCTTTCAAAAAGTCTTACGTAGAGGCATACCCACCTTTGTCCAACACAATGGGCAGCAGTAAGAACATATCGTCGACTAACGAGAACACCACCACAAATATGACTATTGGATGACTTTATGAGTAAACCCGCTTGTGATGGAAACTCTCCATAATAAGCGTCAGCACCATTGACGATTCTCTCAAGAGGACTGCTGGCAGCAAGGCCTGCAATGGAAGATGAAGGTCAGTAAAGATGTATTGCTGACAATATGGATCATGAATCATATAGATCCTGGATCCCCAATAATGAGAGTTGAACCTAAGCAGATTATAAAAATGGTTACGGTTTTGATTTCAATATCCACCAATTAAACATAAATGAAAATAAAACGAATGGAGTTTTACGTCCTACTTTTCTGCACCATTCCAATTTAACAGTAAACGTTACCTACCAATACAAACGAAGAGCAAAATCATCATCATGGTCGGTAGCAGACACTTAGAATGTGAATACCTAAAGTTGTTGTCCGGTAGCTTTATATACTAAAGACATCATAAGCCATATGCCAGGATACATCCTTATGCGTGATAAGTATCCTTCCAAGTGGATACAAAATTATATCTATCGATAATAAATTTTGTCAGAGTGTGTTCAATTATGGAAACCTTCTTCAGAACAATATGGTACATTCCCAGTTACATACAGTTAATCCTACTCAAATCGAATGATCACTATCATGGTATTTCGCCAAATTGTTGGATTTCGGGTTTCTTTTAAGGAACCGCTAACCGTTGGTACTTGGTTTATTTATCAAATAGGGTTGACAAATTCGGAAAAAGCTATCTTGTCCTATAACAGATTGGACCCCGATATTCCGAGGACAGGGAACAAGGGAACTCATTGGGTTCATTGGTTTGTTGATGACAGATTTACGTCCGCTGCCAGCAGAGGCTGTTATCGCTGACTACTCATTAGGCAACTGCAAATGGTTAAAAAAAATCCTATAAAACTATGCATTGGCTATATCTAATATTTTTATTACAATTATTTCTTTAAGTCTTTGTATAAAATTAGCATATTTACATTGTAATGTATATGACAAACCTCCCCCGCTCATGATGAGTCACAATATCGGTTTGCAACTACAAGAGTTAGATGGCGAATTCATTTCAACGGCTTTTAACCCTTCAGATGGACGACCCAAAATCATTTTCAGATATCTAAAATAGTAATTTTGATGAAGCCCACAGCACCATGTAGTACTGCGGTATAACGAAACGTGACTCTCAACTTCTGGTGAATTGTTTGAAGTATTAATCTTCTGTTCTTAATTGTAAAATAATATATTTAATTTTTGTCTGGATGGCTCGCGGCTGGGAAATATACATAGAAAGGCGAGAGAATGACCAAACCGTATATTATTATTACCATCTTAGGAATATTTAGAACGATTTTCAGATATTTGTACAATTTTAATTTTTGTACTGCAAGGGACATAATCCGTGTATACTTTATTGAATTATACCTGAGGGTAATAAGGCGCTTGTAGTCTAGCATCAATTTTTAACTATTAAACTCGTTCTATTCAGCCAAAATATACTGCAAAAATACTTAAAAATACTGCATATAGTTTACTTTTCCCTTGACAGTTGAAAACGGATAAGGAGTAAGTTTATTCTTAACATTATGATAAATGGGTATATCCATAGTCGAATATTGAGTATTGGTATTTAGCAGGTGGCAACAAAATACTGCATATACCTCTAAGATACAAGTCAATGTCGAGAACTATACTACAGAATAATATTCACAACTCTTTCTTTCAATATCACTAATATAGGAGTGTCAAATATTTTGCTTTGTGACTGTTAACTGAAGGTCTTATAATGTGTCGAAGTGTTATTTTCACTATTCGAGAAATAAAGGCTAAACAGTTGTAGTTAAGTGCATACTTTCAATGCAGATTTGTAACTTTTGGACTAAAAACACCCAAAATTTGCCACATTTTAGAGTATAGTAAACACTATGCGAAATTCTGTTGTTGGTCTTTTTGCTAAGGTCATTTTCAGCTAGTGTCTACGCTATTTATTGACAAATGTCAGGAGGGCAACTGACTTAACTTGTAAAGGGTGCTATTCTATCGAGGTGCTAAGATCACTTACATACTCTTTGTTAAAGGTGTGTTACAAAAGTTTGTACAGATTTACACAATAAAAAGGTAAAATTCGTTTTATTTCTATATGAATTACTTTGGGAAGCTGATCATACGCCACGTCATCAAGTATGATAACCATCGCTATTATTAGCACATTTCAAATAGCAAGTCTTCGAAATTTATTATAAAGCGAAGTATCCAGTTGTTCTGGTAGTGGCTCTTGTTCTCTGTCGTCATCATCTTCTTCTTCACTCGAAAATGATGTTTTATCCACATTTTCCCCAAACCGAAACGATTCTGATCGTTTGAAGATTATAGGTTTTGAACATTTGTATGTGGTGTATAAATCGTTGAAAATCTCAACAACGCGATCGATCATTTCAGACGCCGACACTTCGTAAAATGCTAAACAACCCATTTCACATGCCCTACGAATGCCTTCCTCGAAGGAGATCATTCGGTCCAAATGTCTATCGATTTGATTGCCCACTAATATAACCGGGGTAGTCATTCTTATTGTCTTTTTGGATAATGGGTCACTAATCATTCGAAGCGGTCTCCGCTTTTTACAAAACGAGTTAATAAGAAATCTAAGTCGAGTACATTCATTGAAACTACACCGATCAGTTACTGAATACACCAGTAGAAATGCATCCGCCCATCGAATATTTTCTTCTAACCTGTTGTTTTCATTCTGAAATATAAAATTTTAGGCAAACTTAAGTACTGCTGTCCTGATAAAATTGTCTTCATCACCTGCAAAATCAGGCGCAGAAAATTTAAAGACCGACGCAATATTCCATTCTTTTTGAAAAGACGGATATATTGAGTTTGTAAGCGTTTAGGTGCCGTGGGTTCGAATCATCCGTAAGGTAAGAAATATTCTGATGTCTGTGCCATTGCTTCAGAGAGTCGATTCGGTTTCAGCTTTCACCACCTAATATCTACACTGCATATGAGGAAAGACGAGGCTCAATCACTCCGGAGATGCGTTCAAAACTAATTTTTCATCAGTTTCGACTTGATTTAATAGGGAATCGTATACCTGAACTGCAGTGTCCATGATCTCAAAATCAACAGTGTTTCCATTCACCGACTTCGTGCATGAATACACCTTTTCTGCAAAGAAAATACGTTATATTTGAAATTATTGCGTCTAACAATAAAAACAACAGTTCTGTTCATCATTTTAACACCCAACTGAGGACGATAATGATAAAGCAGGCTTGAGATCACTGTGGTATATGAGTTGATTTTTGCAAAGAATATCTAACTCTTATTAGTTGTCTAATTTCGGTGAATATTTTATGCATTTTTCCTACAAGCTACTGAAGCTTCTGTTTTAGTCGAGTTGAAGACACGGCTATTCAAATCCACAATTTGATTTGACGTTTTCGTCATTGGTTAATGCAATGAAATGGAGTTTTACGCCTTACTTGTCTTGGCCTAATTGGGTTAATGAGAACGGGCAACACCATACAGTGTGCATTGAGAAATATTTTGCCAGGACAGAGCATTTACAAACTCAAAATCAATCTGAACATACCTAAATCTGGATCATATTCTCCAATATATCGTCTGGTTATAAAACGAACTGTCAATGCAGTTTTTCCTACTCCGTTTTCACCCAAAACGGCTACTCTAAAACACTTCTTCTTCGGACGTAAAGATATCATTTTTAAGATACTGTTTGTTGGTGATGTGGATGACATATTATTTTAATTCTATTCCATTGTGGTATTCGATGTTTCACTGATAGTCCAAGAGTTGTTTCCCCTTAACAAAGTTCATCAAACGCAAGTGTACGCTTCTTTCTGCAAAACGCAAATCACGACTTGTTAAGGAACACCATTCTTTACTATACTAAAACTCTGAATCAATGTTATCCTAAATAACGAAATAAGCTCTGTAAACAATCTCTAAAGGGTAATCGATAGAGTTACATTTTCCTTAGTAACGTACTGTCATAACGATCAGCTTTGATTGCGATAATCCTCATGGACGATCAGCTTTAATTAAGCGGGTGTTATCAACAGACGATACAAATAAGCATTAGGCCATTGTATAGATCATCGTGTGGATTATCACTTAGCGAGATTCTTTGTTCATATCATAGTTTATACCTTGTCGCTCTTGAAGTGGCGCAAACAGTCTGATGTCTAAGATAGCAAGTTCTCACAGTTTGAAAGACAATGCAAAAAAAAAAAAATAAAAATAATGGAAATGCCATCGTACTTTCCACTTTCGTCTCCTTTTTCTTCTGCATTGTAATAAAACAAGTTTTCCAATTATATTTTGATGACATTATATCAACGGACCAATTAAAGCGTGTCCTATTTGTTTCATAAAACGATGACGAATTTTGAGATAACGACACCAAAAGGGACAGAAAACATGTTCGATTGCATTGTAGATGAAGAATATTCTTTAAGAGTAACTGATTTCAATTCAATTAGATTGAACAGTTTACAGCACCGAGACTCAACGGATTTAATTGTAATAACAACTAGCTGTACTCATATCTTGAGGGGAGCTCGGGTTGAATTTAGAACTGGAAGAATCAGAACAATCGGATTTACAACGACTGCTGCAACAGGTGGTATCTGGATTTCCAACAGGAAATTTTGACAAAAAGGTGACACTAACCTACATAATATTATACTTGTTTGCTTTCTACTAAGGCACGGATGCGCCATTTTGGAGGGGTTGAGTCTTGAATATGTAAATAGTCCTCAGAAGTACAAGAAATATACGAAAATCGCATACTTCCTTCAAAAATATCTCAAACTACGAATTTCTTTTCCCTATTTCTATAGATGTCTTTTCTATATATTGCAGTGTCTCATAAAGACGACTCATCTTTTTAACTTACAAACGCAGATAATTCTATACACATGGAAATTTTGACGGCGAACCTTGAACACTATAACTGATTGGCTTAGCTAAAAAAAATTCTATTACTGTGACTTAAGTATTGGTAAAAAAAAGGCGCATCTCTCCCTTTAAACATCACTGGGTTTAATTTCATTGTAAGGATTCTACAAATTTAATCATGATAGCTTTAATGGATTTATATGGTAATGTAAAAGCAATGCAATGTAGATAAAGACGTGACAAATGCGTTCAAGAAAAATTGTAAAATGAATTTTCATTTAAGTATTGTATATGATCATATAATTTGCTATCACCATCAGTTTGGCAATCAAAATCATATAAGTTATAATTTACATAATCATGAGAGGTTTGATTGTGTAGAAATCTATCATAGTCTAAAGAATGGGGAATTTCATATTCTGGACAGTCATTCAACAGCAGAAAATCACTTATATGTGGAACACCAAGAAATGTCGCAACTTCTTGTATATTTGAGCCAGAACGCTGTCTAATGAATCTTCGGCAAAGTTTTTCCAAGCTCATATTATTACAAAAGATTGCAAATGCTTGTCTTGGTCCGCCCCGATTGTAATTCTTCATGGCCTCCTCTTCTATATCAAAGTTCAAAGATGTGGTAATTTCTGAATGTGGTGCACCGCTGATGTACAAAATTTCTCGTAACTTCATTCTCTCTTTTGAGGAAAAATCTTTCAATGAAATATAGCTTACATAATATTCCGATGAATTCAATTCATGTAAACTAATATTACGACCGATAAGAAACTTAATGAAAAGCAATCTTTGGTCCATGTTCCATAATTCAGAGAAAGTTAGCATATTTTGAATGATCGTCTGTCCATTAATTTGCGGTAAATTTAAACCTCTATTTCCATCATATTCATAAAGTAACTTAAAACATGCCAAATCGTCTGTATAATCCATAAAATTGAAATATTGTATTGCAGAACGGCCTTTACAGTCTAAAAGCCTCGAATCGGCTTTTGCCTTCAGAAGTTTGTCCACTAGAATTTTGTTGTTTGTCATAACGGCCCACATTAACGCTGTTTTCCCGCTAATATCTTGAGTATTAATTTTAATGCCCGCCTTAAGCAAGATATCTACACAATGCATAAAATTGGGTAAATAGTTGAAATCACACAACTCTTTTCGATATTTCTCGCATTTATATTTACTCAATTTCTTTATGATCCCAGCAAATCCAATAATGCATAAGTGTAACGCCGTGTGACCTTCTCCGTTTTGTATATCAAGATGGCGGACCGATTCTTCTATACAACACATAATAAATGAACGATTGTGTAAAAAAGACGCTATCATAAGGGGTGTGTTCTGGTCTTTGTTTCTATGGTGCAGATCTATCTTATGAAAAATCAAGTCAGTATAATCGACCTTGTCATCTTCACAATACTTGGCAAGAAGATGGTAGATATTTTCGTCGTGGGCTGTAACTGAATTGATACATAATCCAGCGTCAATAAACGTGCAAACCAATCGTAATTTATCATTTGCTAAAAGAAGTTTTACTAATTGTAATTTGTTATTGTTGTTGTTGGTTAAAAAATCTGCACGGTGCTTAATAAGTGATTGGATGAAATTAATAAAGCACAGATCAGGGATTTGATCTCGTGTTTCAAGTGCATCTGCCAATTTTATACAATTACAATATGGCAATAATAGTTTTGTTATAGCTCTATTACCTTTTAAGTAATGATGCAGCGAGTTAATAAATGCGGTATCACCATCTACAGTAGAAGCATTTACATCACATCCGTGATCTAATAATAATTTAACAATTGGTATATTTTGCTTTTTAACGGCCAGGTTTATTGCTATTTGATTAAGCTCACCCGAAGATTTGATATAGGCATTTTTACTTAGTAAGTCTCTCACGGTGGCTTCGTTATCTTCATCAACTGCTTGTAGTAATTGTTCAGAAATCTGGACATTATATTCATCATCCCCATCCATTATTTACGCTTTGATCATTTATCCTTTTGAGTCATATTTTGCCTATGCATTCTTTCTGAAATACATCGCACCGGATTTCAAACAGTAATTGTTACCTTCCACCACATTTATATGCAGTCCATTTTCACCTTCTTTTACTTTCGGTTTCAATGGTGAACTTTCAATTTCATTGTAACTAAAATTAGAAAATGTAGTAAATCAATAAAGTTTTCGCAGATATATGCATAATGGTTAATATTGTTCTACACAGTATGTCCCAAGTATCAATACAAACTCTTCCATTCTGTAAATTACGTGTCGATAGATGATGATATTAATGAGTATCATATAAACGTTAAAATGGCATGACTAAAAAAGGAGTATAATTCACGTCCTATGTCACACAATGAACAATGAGAGAAATTGAACCAGATCAGTATCCTGGTAATTTTTGATTGTTCTTTACTCTGTATATTATATAATTGTAAGTAATATTAGACATAGTGTGCTAACACTAAATAAGGTATGAATACAGAGCAAATAACCTTGTTTTTTCTCCAGGTGGCGTTTTCTCGCCATTCTCCTCTGGTCCCTGTAACCATATTATATTTCTATCAAATGTATCCCTTATCTCCACAGATTGGTGTTGCTTGCTGCCGCAAACACCTGGCCAAGTAACGAGTCACGCGAATTATCAGTTAAGATACAGTGCACATGGCAAAAAATCCAAAAAATGAACAGTTTCATCAGCCAAAACTTTTTCGATTTCCAACCGTCGTGATATCTCTAACGTGCTTAGCCTTTGAGACATGCAAAATCAATTTATATTATAATAAAAATTTAATTATATTTTATATTCTGAAGAATAGACATTTGACCTGTATCATTTTTAGAACAGGGCCCAAGGTGTAAAAGCGATTAAAAGTAATACAATTTGTAAAAATACCGGTTGTTGCGACATGTAATCTATGACCCACAGACGTATTTCTATGGATCTGAATAAGAAATGAAGCAATGAAACACACCTCATATTAAAATCTTACCTACTTTATCCTTGACTTGATGACATACCGGTTCCTAGACTTTACAAATATCTGGAATAAAACCATAATTAGATTCGAATGTCTTATGCCGTCGCATATAATTCACACTTAAAATTAAATAGAACATAAGAATTATTTCCTTGTATAGCAGCTAATGCAGCTATTAATAGATCTAGGTCAAAGTTGGCTAAGTATAGATATTTTTCATTGAAGAATAAATGTGCATATTGATCGTTGAGTGTCGTAATATACGACAGATTGTTGATGTCCAAAATGACCGCCGTATGTTGATTTGAAAACAAATATACAACTTCCACCCTGTGAATAATGTACACAGAAAGATCAGGGAAATCCAATAGACTTCGACCCCATTCGTCATATAACAAGATTTTTCCCGGTATTTCCACTTTGAATATTTCAAACAAGCGTGATCAAAATTAAAGATCGGAGGCCCCAGACTGTAACTGAACGGGCGAAAAATCGTGTAGCCATTATTGAGCGAAGGGTCAAGTAAGTCTTGACCAAATCATTGTGTGAAAACTAACATAAACCTAGTTTGAACCTTTCATTTCAGCCCAGAATCTTTATGTAAAACCTAAAGGTGCAGGCATACGAACGGTCTTGGTGGGCGATTTTTGTCGCAGACTCGAATCTTGAGTAAAATGTCGCGTGTGTCCGTGCTTTCAGGGCAAGATTATCGTGTTCCCGACATTATTTATTAAATCACACAAGTATGATAATTGTCTCCGATAGTTTTATCGTTTGCAAGACAGACTGTCATCATCCAATAAGATTCATTTTCCTTTCAATTGCATGCTCCACCTCTAGTCAACGGCAGACTCTAGTCGGTGACAAAAATAGCCGTTCGTGTACCCGCACCTTAACATGAAGTTAGTATGAAACCTACAGGAAAACTATTTTGAGGCTGATGTAATTTTACTAGAGGGTTGTGCAAGGTCTAAGTGCAAAGAAGTTATCATACAATACGTGTATACATGTATTTATGATAGTGTGGGAAATCACTCAAATATGGGAGAGTATAAGAACGCAAGTTATGTCCCTTGTTCTTTAAAATTTATTCTATATTTTAGGGTAAAACACTAATGAAACTACAGTTCCAAGGAAAATGTACGACCAAAGGTCAAGTAATTCATGCTGGTAATGTTTGTCAACCTTCGCACAGCTTAAAGTACCTTTCATGGCAAGCAGGGGCGCATATAGGGAATTCTTGAGTGGGTTGGCGAAAGAAGTTCCCTTGGGGTCGAGGTCTAAAGGCTGCCAGAGGCTCCCCACTAGCCAATGGTTTTTAAATGGCCTGAGATGCATTTTGATCATGAAGAGGGCGCTTTTACTTCAAAATAAGACAGGCTTGATAGGAGGGGGTGGCGTGTGGTCAAATGGACCAACCCTAAATACGCCACTGCTGGCAAGCTATCCTATTAATATTGCAAGTGCTTTTCGGCTTTAAATTTGACTAATGATTAAAGCTTTTGTATTGGTTTAAATATTTTAAATATATGACGATGGGTCAAGCAAATGGTAATCTTTAAAGACAGTCAGGTCAAGGGGTGATGGTTTGTTTTTCAACTAATCCTATTAATCTATAATCTTCTTTACCAGACATCAGATTTAAAATTGGAAAGTTCATACAAGTTCAACTACCAAAAATTGAAATTTGATTATGATCTTCAGAGATGAATTAACGTGATACTACAATATTGACAGAATTCGCCTAAAATTTGATCTAGTGATACCAGAGAAAAAGGTGCGGTACCATCATTTGTGAAAACTCAAATAATTGGCACAACACCATTGTGAGTAATGCAATGTTAAGTCAACTTGTATAAGTCAAGTTCTGTGTGGTCAAGATAGTTTAGGTGTGCCCTTGGTTCTAAGTGGGCCCTTGGTTCTAAGTTGGATTGGACCAAGGGGTAACAGGGGATTTACTCAATGTTTGACCTACGGATTAGAAGTTGCGATAAGCTCCTGTCAGATCCACAACAAATTGTCATCTCATCAGGGTCCATTTCTGGAGAAAGATATTTTTAACTCGGTAAATTTAGTTGTCACATTGCGTTTACCGTTTTTACACCTGTACGTGACAGTAGCAAATCAAATCGCCAATATTTACAATTTACATCACGTGATGTTTTAGGGCAGACGACAAAACTTGGTGGGTCATTCAAATATAATCTCGGTTATCAAGTGTGTACACTTACACTTCAATGAACATTGCTCAATGGCTAAGTCTCAATGACCGAGTCCGGTGAGTTATAGATGAATCAACTTGTCTCTTTCAATATTGGACGTGAAAAAAAGAGAATTTCTCACCACTGTTTACTCGCGTGTTGAGGATATACATGATAGATAGAACTGGTTGACAATTTTCATATTTGTGTTTTGGTCAAGGAAGTTTTGACCAATGAAGGAAACAATGACCAGTCTGAGACTGGCGATTTTAGGTGATGAGAAAGTCGGAAAATCAGGTATATTTTATTTTTCGTTTGCTCTTTAATTTTTAAAAGTGTTATAATGTTGAACAGCTGCGGCATACCTTGCGTCTTGCATCAACATCACTCAACTCGAATGCACCTACGCAGTTTGATTCTTGCCTATCACACGTTGCTTTAAATAAATGCACTTGAAATACCAGCACATTGACTCGTTCGATGATTAGGGCTGCAACAAAGCCGTGGTCAAGATTATGTGCTTATTTGCAGTGGCGAAATAACATCTCTGTCTATAACTATCTTCGAATCATGTGATTAAAACCCATATCAATCCAAAACTTATTAATGGTTCGTTTTTACATCTTGATATTTGTAGTACCAAATGACCCAACTGTGATCACACCCGTCGTGACTCCGTTAGCTTCAGACTGTGCATACTAAAGATTTAGAGAGAGATTGACATGCCTGACACTACTAACTTTATGATGCTGATGGTCTCCATAAGCCAAACCAGAAGCAAAGAGTTGCAAAAACAAATACTATGTCATATATTAGTCCGAAACATCTGCACCCATCTCTACCTATATCCCTGGTAGATATTCTGACAGCTAGAGTAGAGTCAGAAAAATTAGGCCCTGTTTAATGAGGATTTTCCATAACATAATACAGTTTATGATTACGATTACTGATCACCACATAACAGATCCTTGTTTTTTTGTCTCTACACCAGCCGACAACTTTCAAAAGAGCTATCAGAGACTCGGATAGAAGTAGATGTTTCGGTCTATTCATATATTTAATCAGTGTCAAATGACGAAATCAATAATCAGCTAACGTAACCATAGTAGTATTCTCTGTGGATGCCTTGAAAGGTATTTTGAATGTGCTAAGTCATGGTATGAATTGGAAACTGACACGTTGGTTAGATCGCAGGCGACTTAACATTCCAATAGCAATAACATAATCTGTTTAGATATGGTTTAAATTTTTGTTAAACTTTTGGCATACAAGCATGCGTTGGATTTATTTTTTTCATATTTTTTCACTGTATTTTAAGTCTGTGTGTAATTGTTTATTAGGTCGTTGACATCCGATGAATCATTTTTGTTTTTTTGTATCTACTTGTACCAATTCAACGAAATTTCATCATTTCGAAAGGCTGCAACTGGTTGCTACTGGAAGTCAAACTACGAGGGCACGAATTAAAGATTTCATTCTATCCGACCTGCACTCTCATAATGTTGAAAAATCAGAAAGCATATATGTATACATTTGGTGAGAATCTGATTGAAATACAGATTTTTCTTATTTTGCTTGTAGCACCATCTTCACAATGTCAAGCTATTACGAACTTCGTTTTATACCTTGACTTCATTTGCCACCTTTCGTGTATCACGGAAGTTTGTAAATCCAACGTTTTGGTTGGATTGTAGTTTTACCTCCTCAACAGAAAGTTTGTTAAAAATAAGCCATAATGAATAATGGCTATTGCAGTCAAGGCATAATATAAGTTCCCATTGTGAAAATGGTTTTATTCATGAGCTATTTATTATTTATTAAATATATCTCTGTAAATGTGAATTATTTACATTTCAGCTGTAACGGTTCGTTTTCTAACTAAACGTTTTATTGGAGAGTATAATTCAAATCGAGGTAAGTAGTTCTGCAACCAAACACTTTTTTTTATCCCTATCGGAAATGCCTGTATTTTAGATGAGGCAGCTCTAGTTAATATTGTTTGTGTTCAAACCTTTGGTTCTCAGAATTACAAAATTTGGTCTCCTACTAGTTTTTGATAAAGGTTATATTTTTGAAACGACCATGAAAACATTCTTCCGTTTTCTTTGTTCGTCTCATTTTCTAATTCATTGTTTTAAAACCAATTTGTCACGATTGCGTCTGTAAGAAAGTAAACATATTTTTCTCTTAGAACAAATACAAGTGTGACATTGTTTTAGTGCAATTCTTAGGGAAAAATACCCGTTGTTAAGACTTGCTTTCATATGGTTGGGACAGTTAACATTTTAATTTAATTTAAGAATTTTAATAAAATTGATAATATAAATTGATGCCCATTGTGCTATGGCTGTGGACATCTCACGTAGGAATCGGCTTATGCAGGTAGCTTAGAAATACTAATGAGCAGGCTCTTATGTCATCAGCCCAATAAATGTAGAATCGCACAATCTCGTTCCCTCCATTCATATAGTATGGTATGATTCAGTGTATAGTTTACCTGCTCTTCAAAGTATATATTTGTTTTGCTGTCTTTTAAGACATTAATATATAGAAATGGGACCTAGATCTAAAATCACATTTTGGTATGGACAGTTGGCAAATCGATACGGTTGACCTAGACACGTTGACCTTAGATGACTTGATGAATGAAAAATAGTGACCCCAGATTGTATTGTTTACAATATTTCTTTGTCGTGTACATGTGCACATATTAATATTTAATTTAGTTATTGTGGGATTATTGTTGTTGCAAACACATTCGCTTGAGACTGTACAATACATTAAAGATAAGTTTCCTTATTTTCAGTTTATGAAAATGAAAATGCTAATACGTATGTAGAGGTTTTCTTATGACTTGGAAAAATACCAGTTTGTCTCACATGTCCATAATTAATTCATAATTAGCTAAATTAGAAGAGAATTACCAGCAGAATTCGAATGAGTGGCCGATCAAGAAAGGTCTTCTTTGTTTTGTTTGTCCAGACTGTACATACATAGACATTAATGATTTGTTTAACTCTTAATTATATGCAATAAGAACATAATGATATGATTAAGAAAACATGATAATTCATTATAATCACCAATTAATCAAATACTTTGCTTAATTTCACACTAAAAAATGAGGACACCCATCCTTAAATGCATTAGAAATAAAACTTGCTTTTGGATTTGGCTAGCAATTTTGAGCTATATTTTGTATTTTAATAATACCAGAAAAGGTGATGTACTCAATTTTGGATGTGCTATGATTATTCTTATAATCCATATGAAAATTATCAGGGAAAATCTGCCTAAAGTGTAAAACACGTTTTTACCTTTTTTTACATCATATCTTCATACTGTATGTCATGCCTTAAAGATGGGTTCCCTTATTTTTATTTATGAAAATGAAAATGCTAATACTTATATGAATCTTCATACTGTATGTCATGCCTGAATTGTGCTCATGAATTTTAAGCACAAACCCCTTCTCTCTCTGTCTTCCTTTACCTATGACAGTTATCCATAAAAATGTATAGGCAAAAGGAATAATTGAATAAATCTGCATCTGTGGTGAAAGATATACGTGCAGAATGGCCACTCATCCCTTACAAACAGGGAGATAACTAATGAGTAGGTATTGTCCTACTTTGACAAAATAATATCATTACAGGTTTGTTTCGGGATTTAAATGATGGCTGTACATATAGCTTTCTTTGTATACCTTTTATGCAGCATTCTCGTTTCCTTCTCTTCCAGATCTCCTGTACCGATCCAGTATTAAACAGGATGATAGTCAAACAGATCTCGAGTTGTTGGACTCCTGTTCCAAAAAGGTAATTCAGTTTTCTGTGGAGTTGAGTAAAATGTATTTCATAGACACTGAATAGAATGTCAGTTTGATAAAGAGGAAACAGTGTCCCAGAATCATATTCAACTAAATGTTCTTAAAGTATGGTGTCAAGTACAACGTGTTGATAAGACAAAAGACCATGTCCACAAGGAAGAAGCTCGGGTGGTTTATCGTCTGGAATAAACGCGGTGTTCTTCAGATATGGCAACCTTGACAGTTGACAAGACGTATGCTTATGATCATTTCACACTGTTCTATTTCGTTAAATACCCTGTTCATTTTATATCCAGATAAGGGAAATAATCATAACCAATCCTCAAAATTTATATTGTAGGATGCCAAAAGTAGCATATCAGACACACCAGGATGGGCAGACGGCTATATCATCATATACAGTATCTGTGATCAAACCTCGTTTCAAGCAGCTAAAATACTGCTGGATACACTGAACAAATCAAGGGCATCACTGTTTACCCCGATTCTTCTACTTGGTAACATGGTCGATCTGGAACATCGTAGGACAGTCGGGGTTGAGGACGGACACAAGCTTGCACTCGAAAATGGATGTTTGTATTACGAAGTTTCCGCAGCTGATAGTTACATCAGTATCGCTATTGCCTTCAAAGCTTTAATTCGGGAAGCTAAAGCCATGCAAAATCAAAGACCAACCATTAACAAGCGTAGAAGGAATTCCTTGGTCAGTATGTCTAAAAGACTTGGTGCAATGTTTAGCAAGAATAAGGATTCACCAGAATCGGAAAGACGCCGTAGTTCCACATCGTGTGAAATTCAAGTTATTGAACAAAGGCAATTGTGAACAGTATTTCATTCAAGGGAGGTAAACTGTGATTATCAAGGTTAATATTTGGTGGACATTGGTTGTGTTTCCATATTATCCATGTACATACCGCATATTCTTCTTTCAGTAAGATTAATTTGGCTTTGTGGACACCACAGGTTCGAATACCTTGCAGATTTGTCTTCTTCAGCCTCTGGAGGTTTGAATGCCTCATCTTATGTTATGTTACTATTTTGTGGCGGTTATAAGGGCGCGCTGATAATAGTCTGCTAAAATTTCTTTCAATGTAGATCGCATTTTGTATTTTCTACAGACTATGAAGTGCTATCTGTAATGTTTTTTTTGTATTTTTTTCGTTGGCATTCCATGTTTTATATTAAATTTATTTATTCAAAAAGTTAAATGAAACCTTTTTTTCATTATTGTATAAGAATCATTTTAATTCCAACCTTATGGAAATGGCACTTCTTTATCAGTCCAACATTCCAACATACCAAAAGATGACCAAAGAATGAGTCGAATTTTGCATTACATTTCTTACTGTTGTATGTCAAGTACGAGCATGTAAAGATCAAGTATTTCAGATGGGAAAACCAGATGCTACTGAGAAAATGACAAAACTCTATATATGGCTTAATTTCTCTTAGTAGTAAACTGGTAACCGAGCAGTCGTATAGATTTGTTAATATACTCTCTCTCACTCATTCAAAGAAAGCAAAAAATGTCACTCAAAAACATCGCATTCCATGACCATTAAATCACAGAGAGATGCTAAGATTGCCATTCACTGTAAATACTATTTCTTCTGGCAACTGACTTTACAAATACAAGATCTTTGACTTCAATGTGCAACATTTTTGTGATCTTTTTTAGATTCGATTCAGTTAAAACAATTTTGTTTTCTTTTTTTGCCTCGAATGTGAAAGTTTTGTACCACTTTGACAAATTTGACGATCACCAACACCTGTCCAACAAAAAATACAGTTTTTCAATATTTAGGTCAAGGGATTATGGTAGTGTTTATGTGAGAAATTACCATCTTGGTGTGATAAACTCTTTTAAAATGTCTCCTTAAATTTTGTTTTTCCGTAATAAACAAAACATTTTACAACTTATCGCCAACTGTTCCAGATTTTCCAGATTCCAGATTTTCTTGCTGATTTTAAACATTTCGGTTAGTAAGGCAATGATCATAAGAATATTCAGACGAGAGTGAATACAGTGTTTATTTTTTTGCAGTAATTAGCCTTCGTTCTTAATACATCTATGGGTAATATGTGTATCAAATATTCTTGATAACGCAAGGCAAGTTAGATTGCCGCCTCTTCAGCCTTTCTAGACGTATGGATGGTGCGTTGGAATTCTATTCCGTAACGAATCACGTAAAGCCTCAATGACATGGAGTTATTTCAGTTGGTATAGCAACTATTTAGACAGTATTCAGCTTTAAGACTTAAATCATTTCGTTTTGATACGAATATGACGATACATAGGCAGAGCTCAATGGGACAGCAAGCAATGGTCAAATCTTATGCAACATAATCCTAAGGACTCGGTGAGAAGCACGTCGAAACGTTTCATACCACTTTAACCAGTGTTCCATCAAGCCTTGCGTATAAAGATATAATATGAAAGATATATTCATAGACGAATTTGAACTGTTCGTTATCGAAAACATCACTGAAGTAATAATTATATCATAATTTTATTTCACAACGATACATGGTTACAATAATATAATACAAGTTGTATTTACAATTATTACAATAAAATACAACTTTACAGCTCTTGATGTTACAAAGCTGTATTTCGTAACTCAATTCAAGCAAAAAAGGTCTCACACAAAAATTAATGCTACAATTTTACTGCAGTAAAATAATTACAGCTGATAATAATGTCAAGAAAAAATCAAAAACGTAACTGGTATGCAGTGTGAATATGTATGGAATTCATGTTTATGATGACATCACATACACCAGGGTTCTCGATTAGATAGTCTCCATATTTCCATGCTCCATAAACGCAATAACTTTTGATTTATCGACAGTTCGAATTCTGCACATACATGGATACCCATACAACAACTCATAAACACAACACAATGTGCACAAGACAAAAATGTTCAGATTGTATAATCCATACAATAACACATAGCACACATTGTATACAACACACTATACTACAACACACAGTTCATAATATACTATACAATTTTTGATAACACATACCAATAAATTTCGTGCATTATCAGTTTTAATAAGTAGTGCTAATTATAATAAAAGCGAATACGTCTCAAAACAACATATAGTGATTAATGCTGGCTGTGTTTGCTTATTTCATACAGATACACAAATTCAAAAGATAAATGAAATATACGCAACCACATAAACAAAGCACATAATGCTCACACGACACACAAATTATGATGCATGAATACACACTTATAAACATTACACATAATGATAACAACAATCCCATTCATACATTCTGTACGTACACGTCGAATACAGACATAAGAAAAATAAACAGTTGACAGTGCACATACAAAAGGTAATATGTAACTACAAATACTGAATTTACTTTCATACATAACTACACACAGCACTAATTACTCCATACACATACATGCATACAAACACATGCTAATTATCCATTCATATATCTATGCATACATCATGCGTACACAACTTAACACAACTAGCACACTTTCACTTAGATTTTAATTTTGAATCGAAGGAAAACAAAATTAACTTCAATGAGCCCTAATGTTGATTTCGCTAATTGTGATCCATTTGCATAACTTTACTGTTCGAAAGACATATTGTATCTAATATATTATTAATTCAATTCCACCGTTTAGAACCAATGTCCTTCATTCTAGATTATGTGTTATTTCTTATTGAGCACGTCCCTGAATGATATATTATTCCTCTCGTATTTATGGTTAAAACAAAACCCGTGTATAATATTTTGTTAGCTAGAGAATACTGGCATTAGTCCCAAATAAAGTCCGTGCATGCAATTTTAAAGCAGGGAGAGGAAAGCCGTGAACAAATCTTATACTCATGCAAGAAGCACGATGCAGCATTAACAAAAACACAGAAAGCTCCACACGAGTGTTGCCATGAAGAGAAAAGCCCAACTACTATCACCAAGAACCAGGAAAGCAGTAAACATAGCGACCAAGGTTTGCTAGCACGAAACACATGAGTTTGCTCATAATGTGAAGCAGAAGAATCATCTTTTGGGAAACTCTTTCCCAACTAAACTTTGTATATTATCCCACACATAATTTTGTAAAAGTGTGTCACTGAAAAAGCCAAAGAAATCTAGACCACAACCATCATGCCATAAACCTTCCCAAATCTCCAAGCGGACGAAACACAGGCAATATACAATATACTTAATTATGCTATAAATTGAAGAACTTTGATAAATAAAGTGTTAGTTGTGCACATCCATATAGAAAATTCAAAGCCCAAAATAAAGCTGTCAGATACCAAAGAGGGGCAAAGGATAGTCGGAACCAAGCAAAAGCCTTATACACTCACCATAGAGGGACTACATAATAGCTGCCGAATATGTGATGTTGACATGAGAAAGCAAAATAAATATGCAGACTTAGGTTAACAAACAACAATGTTTGCGAAACACTCCAAAACAACTACCACCCATGCAATTAGTGAAAGCAAATAGATCAGACTCAGAAGGGTTAATATATAATAGCAGTTGATAAACAGAACTAAGCGGAAACGGAATGACCTATGCGTTAGCTCTGTTCCTTTTTCAATCACCAAAATCCATACAAGCGAGAGAAAATAATTTCGGTTAGTAAACCCCAACGATATACAAAAATCCTGCTAGTAAGCTCCAAAACCATGAAGATATATTAGGCAAAGACATACCTACAGCAAGGAAAAAACAACACAGATATCTTCGAGCCAGCCACCGTAAAGAGCTGAAAGGAACGTAACTGTACAAATACTCATAACACCGAACATTAAAAACGACTAACAACCAAAAGGCAATAAAGCCAAAAATGAAAGATTAAAAGACAAAGACAATCACAAGCTTCAGACAATGTACATGCTACCGATGGATACAGTCTAATTAAAATGAGGCCAAACTCTCGTTTCGTTTTTTTTTATAAGCTTTTATTTTTAATATAGCCCCTTCAGATAGGGTATAACGACAGCACTCTTGAACGATCGTCAAATTAACTTTGACCTAAGTCGATGACGTTAGCTTTCAAATTGTTACCCTCTCCAGCGCTGGTAAATGTGACGCAGTGTTTATTAGGTTAGGTCAAAGGGTTGATTTGACGAGAGTTCTAATTGAAGTGGCTATATTAAAAAATAAAAGCTAATAAAAACGGAACGAAAGTTTGGTCTAATTTTAATAAGACTGCCGATAGATACTAAAAAGCAACAAATCAAATGAAATTTCATTGTCGAGTTTTAGTTTCGCATAAATCTAATCTTCGAAAGAGACCTAGAGTTTTAAAATAAAAATATTACTATACAGCAAAAGTTAACGACAACGCAGAAAGGCAGAATTGATTCAATGTACGCAACATTTTTATTAAAAAAAAAACTAATGCATTAGTAGCCTTCACCCATCTTAGACATGCAGAAAGCAAAAGCATGAAAATTAGTACACATAGACAAGCAGATAACATGGCTATTTTGCACAGCTGCACTAATTAGACATTAAATAAGCTGTCATAATTGAACTTAAAATGACATGAGAGGATGGGTCATGAGGCATTACTGATAGGACTTTGATGTCCTATTGTTCTGCATATTATCGGGTTGAAAACGATGAGCAACACCACACGGTTTGCAATGTGGAAAATGTGCAAGGGCAGTTGCTATAGGTTAATCTTACAACTGTCGAGGGATCTTTAACGTCATGATCATGGTTTCATGACCCAACAGAACAAACCATGTTCATAATACTGACATGAACGTTTAGTAATATGCCGTTAAGTTTAAAATACTGAGTAAAACGGAGAACAATACTTTTCAAATATATATAACATATAAAATACTGAACTTAACACACAACATACATTTTCATGTCCGTTTATATTATGACCAAACATAAAGACATACAGAAAATGTGATCAAAGATTTTAATGCTTAGTTGCCGGGTATTCCGTTTTTTTGTAAAAATTTTCATTATCAAAAACTGAAAATATTACTTAAGTATGCTATTAATATCGATGTATCTTCTTGATTAAACTGAATTTGTTTTAAAAGGGTTTATTAAAAACAGAAAATACTTTTTGCTAATTAAGCAGTTGGACCTAGTGTTTGTGTTTGACTTTATATATAATGGCTCGATATTATTAGATAAAACCTTTAGAATACATAGGGGACATAATTTTCTACAATTAGGCATTTATTTTTACTCAAATCCGTAAAGTGTTTTTTTCGAACAGCTTCCAAAATGCATAACAAACTTAAAAACCTTACATAATGTTTTTAAATATTTTTGGCCTTTAAAAATTAATTTTTTAGTTAAAATTTTCAGATACCTTAAAGGGCACATTTCTCTAGATTTTGGTGTATAGTTGTCACAAATTTGAGCAAAAAGTTTGATTGTCCCTTTTAGTTAAAGATTGGGTATTGACGATGACTTGTATACAAATGGTTAAATGGTTATCATTTTTAATGAAATGGCATGTTGGAATAACATGTAGACGAACTGAACACATGTTTCGCCCTTCTACATGTATTCATTTTTTATAAATGAAATACCTTGACTGAAATAAACAAATCTAACCATAATATAATTTCTCTGACAAAAATGAAAAACAAAACACACTCAAAAAAAAAAAAAAAATACACAAACGCAATATCAGTATACATAATGCGAAATACAGCACATACAAACAGAAACAATTTTGCACAAATACACCAAGCACATGTACAATAATAATGTAGACACATGAATACATCATCAATCAGAAAATACAGAACGAAATATTTGATATAACTGAAACATTATAAATGATTAACAACACATTGATACATACAAATTTTTTCAAACACAACATACATAAAAACATTGAAACACAGATGAATTCTCAAACACAAAGTATATAGCACATTGTTAATACACAGAAAAAGCATATCAAACACAAAAATACAGCGCATTGATAAACATAACAAAATACGTAACAAATTGATACACAAAAAACAAACACTTCAAACACAAAAAACAAAACACGTTGATACAGAGACAAAACACTTCAAACACAAAATATATGACACATTGACAGGCAGACAATAGCAAGATACATTACAAACAATATAGAACATACAAATAGAGAAGATACATAACACAAAGTTGATAAAGATACATTGACTATACACTTTACACAAATACAGTACATTTTTCAAATATGCTTCAGCTTGAATTTTTTGGATACATTTTATCAAGTCAAATTCGAAAATTCAAATTCTATTAAAGCGAATCGTTTGGGATATACTCTTATTATATTATACATATAATTGGTATATCCTTTTTATATCCACCAGGACAAACGATACTATCATTAATTTAGGTATTATCATTAATATCAGTACGTCAAAATCGTCCTAGGGGCATAATTATAGCATTAAGATATCCTGAGTATAACCCACACCTCACAATGGTAATACATATAATATTAATTAATACCGCACTTTTAATAGGAAGTTGAGCAATGTTTCAAAATTTTTCTTAATCCTTCTGACCAAGTTTATATTAACGTTTCCTTTTAACCGATTCCTTATTAGGATGTATATCATCTCGATTCATCTTAATAAACAAAAGCGACACTCCTTTGTTAAGAGATGATTAATTGGAAAATATTCGAATGGATTAATTTTTATTCTTGACTTCAACCTTTATAAAATAGATGACATATTATCTATCATCTTCATTGCTTTCACAATTTTTTGGAACCGAATTTTTTCTCACATTTTTCTCCGACGTGAACATTTTCTCATACTTCTCAAACATACAAACTTCCACAAAATCAACGTTTTCTGTCATTTCTCACACATCAAAAGTTCTACATCTACATTTTCTCTAGTTTCTCGCACATCTATATTCAAAATCAACATTTTCTGTCATTTCTCACACATCAAAAGTTCTACATCAACATTTTCTCTAGTTTCTCGCACATCTATATTTTCACACCCTCAAATTTCACAGTTTCTCTCATTTCTTTCACATGACCATATCATACATTTCTCCAATTTTTTCCATATTTACAATTTCTCTAACAACAGCAAGCACTTTCTCTCACATCCAAATACTCTCACTTTTCTAACATTATCAATTTCTCCAACAACGACATCAAACACGTTCTCTCATTTTCTCACTTAGACAATTTCTCTAACAAGACAACAACAACGACACAATTTTTCTCACGTTAACATTTTCACCAGCATTAACATCCAAAATTGTCTTTTATTTTTCTTTCAATAACTACTATTCTCACATTTTTTCGCACAAATAATTTCTAAGATGAACAATTTTGTAAATGAACAATTTCTAATAACAACAAATTCTCACATTTCTTTTTCAAAATAATATTTCCTAACATTTTTCCAAGTTTTGTTAATTGTCTCACAATCTTCTTTTTTAAATTAGTTTTAAAAAAAAAAAGGTCTCAAATATCATTTCAAAATTATGTCTCATTTACATTAGTTAAAAGGTCTTTTTCGTGGAGCATGATGCAAGTTTTATTTAGCGGTTCAAATCACAATACAAGCAAATCCACTGCAAACAGAATTCTAAGCAATGAAACAGGCGAAGGGAACACTTCTCAAAAAGCAAAAACTTCTCAAAAACGATCAAAAATAGTAGCGTTTCTACGGAGGCCAGGGGCTGGGGTGGCAGAACTGGGATTGGCCTGGCTCCCCACCTAATAATTCTTAGAAACGCCACTGTAAAAAAAAAATCACGATATGGATAAAAGTCAAAGCAAACACTACGAAAAGGACGATTTTCTTCCATCTTCTACAGTTCTTAAACTTTCCATAGACTGAAATATAAAAACCTTTCTTTGAGTTCGTACTTATTCACAATAGGAAATCCTTTCAATGGTCAACTAAAATTTGGATTATCTTGCTTTAATCTTGATCGTTTTTTTATGTACTGAACACAACTGGCAGCAGATTGGCAAAACCAACTTACTAATACCGCAGTATACCAATTGGAAAGAAACGTATACCGTTGTATTCTACAGTTTACTTACCTACTAGAAATATGAAAACAAGATTTCGTTAGGTAAATGATAAGGGAATAACTTATTTGATTTCAATAAATTTTACATAACTTTTTTTAATGATTTTCTTAATGTTTTTTTTATATAAAAAAGATTTTCAGAAAATGAATACCAGTGCACCGTGTCAAGGGCAGTCGTTCGACCACACGCTTCGTTTCACCATTAGTCAAGCCACTTCTAATGTAATTCTACAGAAAAAGCAGACTATAACATGGTTAACATGCAATAATATTTTTACTTTCTAAAGGCCTTTACTCCCAAAAGCATGATTATGAACTCTTTATAATGATTTTACTGACCTTTTCTTTAATTACAATGTTATGTTGACTTTTGTTTAGGTTGATCATGTGACAGAGTGTAATTTTATTATGATAATGCAACTGTTCTTTTTTACAACGACAGTATTCGTGATGGTAATGTTACCTTATTCAATTTATAATGACGATATGGCATTTATTCGTGATGATAATGTAACAGTCTTTTATTCGTGATGATAATGTTACTGTCTTCTATTCGTGATGATAATTTAACACCCTTTTATTCGTGATGATAATTTAACAGTTTTTTTTATTCGTGATGATAATGTAACCGTCTTTTATTCGTGATGATAATGTAACTGTCTTCTATTCGTGATGATAATGTAACCGCCTTTTATTCGTGATGATAATTTAACAGTTTTTTTTTATTCGTGATGATAATTTAACAGTCTTTTATTCGTGATGATAATGTAACCGCCTTTTATTCGTGAAGATAATTTAACAGTTTTTTGATGATAATGTAACTGTCTTCTATTCGTGATGATAATGTAACTGTCTTCTATTCGTGATGATAATTTAACAATCTTTTATTCGTGTTGATAATGTAACATTCTTTTATTCCTGATGATAATGTAAAGAATTTTTTTCGAGTTCAGGATGTAACATTTGTTGCAGTTGATAATGAAATTTTGTTTTTTAGGATTATGTAACAGTCTTGTAATTCATTTGAGTTCTTTATAAATGATGATTGAAATGGACTGATAATGCAACGTTCAGTTCTGATTCATTTTTTAATGATAATGATATAGAATATACTTGTTAAGTTAATGTTAATGGCAGAGATTTGTTATACTATTCTTGAAGTATTTGATAAATGTTTTTGTGTTATTTCGGTATGATGATGTGTGCTGCCTTTGTATAGGTTTGTTTAAAGAAACCCCACGTTGGCTTATCATACACTTCTTGAAAATATCCACGTATCTGGTAAATATCCGACACCTGTAAATTTAATAGAACTTACCTGTAAATTGATTGCAATCCCCAAACTCTATTGCAAAAGGTTGGTAAAGCGGACCTTCAATAAATGTACTTACATTACATGCCAACTTGTACCCAAACATTACCTTTCTTTACTTGTACTTTATGTGATTTTGAAAAAATCTGAATATCAATTTGAACTCCAGTAATTAAAGCAGTAGCAGCCTAAATATTATTAAAAATTTGCAAATTAACTTAAGTATCCGAACATGTTACTTACTTATTTCTATTTCAACTTTAGTATAATATGATAACCAACCTTACTTTATAATTTAGTTTATATCTAGTATAATAGTTGTAATATTAATATACCTTAATTTAACATCTAGGTATTGTAAACAAACCTTATTTTATCATCTCGTTTATATCTAGTAGAATGCTGGTATTGTAAACATACCTTTCTTTATCATCTAGTTTATATCTAGTAGAATACTGGTAATGTAAACATACCCTACTTTATCATGTAGTTTAAATCTAGTAAAATACTGGTATTGTAAACATACCTTACTTTATCATCTAGTTTATATCTAGCAGAATACTGGTAATGTAAACATACCTTACTTTATCATCTAATTTATATCTAGTAGAATACTGGTAATGTAAACATACCTTACTTTATCATCTAGTTTATATCTAGCAGAATACTGGTAATGTAAACATACCTTACTTTATCATATAGTTTATATCTAGTAGAATACTGGTAATGTAAACATACCCTACTTTATCATCTAGTTTATATCTAGTAGAATACTGGTAATGTAAACATACCTTACTTTATCATCTAGGTTACATCTAGCAGAATACTGGTAATCTAAACATACCTTACTTTAACAACTAGTTTATACCTAGTAGAATACTGGCAATGTGAACATACCTTACTTTAACATCTAGTTTATATCTAGTAGAATAATGGTGATATTAACATACCTTACTTTAACATCTAGTTTATATCAAGTAGCATACTATTGATGTAAACATACCTTACTTTAACATCTAGTTTATATCTAGTAGAATACTGGTAATAGTGAAAAAACTTACATTAACATCTAGTTTATATCTAGTAGAATACTAGTAATGTTAACATACCTTACATAAACATCTAGCTTAAACGTAGTAGAATACTGGAAATATTAACATACCTTACATTAACATCTAGTTTATATCTAGAAGCATACTATTGATGTAAACATACCTTACTTTGACATCTAGTTTATATCTAGTATAATACTGGTAATGTAAACATGCCTTTTTTATCATCTAGTTTATATCTAGTAGAATACTAGTAATGTAAACATACCTTACTTTATCATCTAGTTTATATTTAGTAAAATACTGGTAATGTTATGGTATGTAAGGTAGTTTATATCTAGAAGAATACTGGTAATGTTAACATACCTTACATAAACATCTAGCTTAAACGTAGTAGAATACTGGAAATATTAACATACCTTACTTTAACATCTAGTTTATATCTAGTAGCATACTATTGATGTAAACATACCTTACTTTGACATCTAGTTTATATCTAGTAGAATACTGGTAATCTAAACATACCTTACTTTAACATCTAGTTTATATCTAGTAGAATACTGGTAATCTAAACATACCTTACTGTAACGTCAGTTTATATCTAGTAGAATACTGGCAATGTAAACATATCTTACTTTAACATCTAGTTTATATCTAGTAGAATACTGGTAATCTAAACATAACTTACTTTAACATTTAGTTTATATCTAGTATAATACTGGTAATGTGAACATACCTTACTTTAACAACTAGTTTATATATAGTATAATACTGGTAATGTAAACATATCTTACTTTAACATCTAGTCTATATCTAGTATAATACTGGTAATGTGAACATACCTTACTTTAACAACTAGTTTATATATAGTAGAATACTGGTAATGTAAACATATCTTACTTTAACATCTAGTTTATATCTAGTATAATACTGGTAATGAAAACAAGCCTTTCTTTAACATCTAGTTTATATCTAGTAGAATACTGGAAATAAAAGCATACCTTACTTTAACATCTAGTTTATATTTAGTAAAATACTGGTATTGTAAACATACCTTACTTCAGCATCTAGTTTATATCTAGAAGAATACTGATAATGTTAACATACCTTACATAAACATCTAGCTTAAGCGCAGGAGAATACTGGAAATAAAAGCATACCTTACTTTAACATCTAGTTTATATCTGGTAGAATACTGGTAATGATAAAAAAAACCTTACATTAACATCTAGTTTATATCTAGTAGAATACTGGCAATGTGAACATGCCTTACTTTAACATCTAGTTTATATCTAGTAATATACTGGTAATGATAAAAAACCTTACATTAACATCAAGTTTATATCTAGTAGAATACTGGCAATGTGAACATGCCTTACATTAACATCTAGTTTATATCTAGTGGAATACTGGCAATGTGAACATACCTTACTTTAACATCTAGTTTATATCTAGTGGAATACTAGTAATGTAAACATACCTTAATTAATCATCTAATTTATATCTAGTAGCATACTATTGATGTAAACATACCTTACATTAACATCTAGTTTAAATCTAGTAGAATACTAGTAATGTGAACATACCTTACTTTGACATCTAGTTTATATCTAGTAGAATATTGGTAATAATAAAAAAAACCTTACATTAACATTTAGTTTATATCTAGTAGAATACTGGTAATCTAAACATACCTTACTGTAACATCTAGTTTAAATCTAGTAGAATACTAGTAATGTGAACATACCTTACATTAACATCTAGTTTATATCTAGTAGAATACTGGCAATGTGAACATGCCTTACATTAACATCTAGTTTATATCTAGTGGAATACTGGCAATGTGAACATACCTTACTTTAACATCTAGTTTATATCTAGTATAATACTAGTAATGTGAACATACCTTAATTTATCATCTAGTTTATGTCTAGTAGCATACTATTGATGTAAACATACCCTATTGTAACATCTAGTCTATATCTAGTAGAATACTGGTAATGTGAACATACCTTACTTTATCATCTAGCTTATATCTAGTAGAATACTTATAATGTGAACATACCTTACTTTAACATCTAGTTTATATCTAGTATAATACTGGTAATGTGAACATACCCTACTTTAACATCTAGTTTATATTTAGTAGAATACTGGTAATGTAAACATACCTTACTGTAACATCTAGTTTATATCTAGTAGAATACTGGCAATGTAAACATACCTTACATAAACATCTAGCTTATATCTAGTAGAATACTGGTAATGTGAACATACCTTACATCTAGCTTAAATCTAGTAAAATACTGACAATGTAATACCTTATTACATAAACTTCTGGCTTATATTTTGTAGAATACTGGTAATGTAAACATACCTTACATTAACATCTAGCTTATATCTATTAGAATACTGGTAATGTAAACATACCTTACTTTAACATCTAGTTTATATTTAGTAGAATACTAGTAATGTGAACATCTTACTTTAACATCTAGTTTATGTATAGTATAATACTGGTAATGTAAACATACCTTACTTTAACATCTAGTTTATATCTAGTAGAATACTGGTAATGTGAACATACCTTACTTTATCATCTAGTTTATATCTAGTAAAATACTGGTAATGTGAACATACCTTTCTTTATCATCTAGTTTATATCTAGTAAAATACTGTAAATATAAACATACCTTACTTTAACATCTAGTTTATATCTTGTAGAATACTGGTAATGTAAACATACCTTACTTTATCATCTAGTTTATATCTAGTAGAAAACTGTAAATATAAACATACCTTACTTTAACATCTAGTTTATATCTAGCAGAATACTGGTAATGTAAGCATAACTTACTTTATCATCTAGTTTATATCTAGTAGAATACAGGCAATGTGAACATACTTTACTTTATCATCTAGTTTATATCTAGTAGAATACAGGTAATCTAAACATACCTTACTTTAACATCTAGTTTATATCAAGTAGAATACTGGTAATGTAAACATACCTTACTTTAACATCTAGTTTATATCTAGTAGAAAACTAGTAATGTGAACATACCATACTTTAACATCTAGTTTATATCTAGTAGAATACTGGTAATGTAAACATACCTTACTTTAACATCTAGTTTATATCTAGTTGAATACTGGCAATGTGCACATACCTTACTTTAACATCTAGTTTATATCTAGTATAATACTGGTAATGTAAACATACCTTACTTTAACATCTAGTTTATATCTAGTATAGAACTGGTAATGTGAACATACCTTTCTGTAACATCTAGTTTATATCTAGTATAATACTGGTAATGTGAACATACCTTACTTTATCATATAGTTTATATCTAGTAGAATACTGTAAATATAAACATACCTTACTATAACATCTAGTTTATATCTAGTAGAATACTAGCAATGTGAACATACCTTCCTTTAACAACTTGTCTATATCTAGTATAATACTGGTAATGTGAACATACCTTACTATAACATCTAGTTTATATCTAGTAGAATACTAGTAATGTAAACTTACCTTACTTTTACATCTAGTTTATTTCTAGTAGAATACTGGTATTGTAAACATACCTTACTTTAACATCTAGTTTATATCTAGTAGAATACTGGTAATGTGAACATACCTTACTTTAACATCTAGTTTATATCTAGTAGAATAATGGTAATCTAAACATAACTTACTTTAACATCTAGTTTATATCTAGTAGAATACTGGTAATCTAAACATACCTTACGTTATCATCTCGTTTATATCTAGTAGAATACTGGTAATCTAAACATACCTTACGTTATCATCTCGTTTATATCTAGTAGAATACTGGTAATGTAAACATACCTTACTTTATCATCTAGTTTATATCTAGTATAATACTGGTAATGCAAACATACCTTACTTTATCATCTAGTTTATAATTAGTAAAATAATGGTATTGTAAACATACCTTACTTTAATATATAGTTTATATCTATTAGAATACTGGTAATGTGAACATACCTTGCTTTAGCATCTAGTTTATATCTAGTAGAATACTGGTAATGCAAACATACCTTACTTTATCATCTAGTTTATATTTAGTAAAATACTGGTAATGTAAACATACTTTACTTTTACATCTAGTTTATATCTAGTAGAATACTGGTAGTGTAAACATACCTTACTTTATCATCTAGTTTATATTTAGTAAAATAATGGTATTGTAAACATACCTTACTTTAACATATAGTTTATATCTATTAGAATACTGGTAATGCAAACATACCTTGCTTTAGCATCTAGTTTATGTCTAGTATAATACTGGTAATGTGAACATACCTTACTTTATCATCTAGTTTATATCTAGTAGAATACTGGTAATCTAAACATACCTTACTTTTATATCTAGTTTATATCTAGTAGAATACTGGTAATGCAAACATACCTTACTTTATCATCTAGTTTATATTTAGTAAAATACTGGTAATGTAAACATACTTTACTTTTACATCTAGTTTATATCTAGTAGAATACTGGTAGTGTAAACATACCTTACTTTATCATCTAGTTTATATCTAGTATAATACTGGCAATGTAAACATACCTTACTTTAAAATCTAGTTTATATCTAGTAGAATACTGGTAATGTAAACACACCTTAGTTTGACATCTAGTTTTTATCTAATAGAATACTAGTAATGTAAACAAACCTTACATTAACATCTAGTTTATATCTAGTAGAATACTAGTAATGTGAACATACCTTACTTGACATCTAGTTTATATCTATTAGAATACTAGTAATTTGAACATCTTACTTTAACTTCTAGTTTATATCACTTCTAAAAAACTTATAGCTATTAAGGCATATCTTCACTTCAAGTAAATAGATAGTAAATTTTACAAACCTCAACTTTTAGTAAAAAAGTGGTTATTTAGAACATACCTTTACTTCTGGTAAATAGATAGTAATTTAGACAAACCATCACATCTAGTAAATGAATACTTACTTTGACACAATTTCACTTCTGGTAAATACATAGTAATTTAGAACATACCTTCACTTCTAGTAAATAGATAGTAATTTGAAAAATGTAAACATACCTTACATTAACATCTAGTTCTATCTATTAGACAACAGTTAATTTTAACATACCTTACTTTAACATCTAGTTTATATCTAGTAGAATACTGGTTATATATACATACCTTACATTAACATCTAGTTCTATCTATTAGACAACAGGTAATTTTACATACCTTACTTTAACATCTAGTTTATATCTAGTAGAATACTGGTTATGTATACATACCTTACTTTAACATCTAGTTTATATCTAGTAAAATACTGGTTATGTATACATACCTTACTTTATCATCTAGTTTATACCTAGTAGAATACTAGCAATGTGAACATACCTTACTTTAACATCTAGTTTATACCTAGTAGAATACTGGCAATGTAAACATACCTTACTTTAACATCTAGTTTATATCTAGTAGAATACTATTGATGTACTGGTACCGTCACTTCTAGTAAATAGATAGTAATTTAGAACATACCTTCACATCTAGTAATAGATAGTTATTTTGATATACTTTCGCTTATAATTCATAGATAGTTACCTTGGTATACCTTCATTTCAAATAAATAGATAATAATTAACTGTTAATAAAAAATAGTAATGGTAAATTAAACATACCATAACTTCAAATAGATAGACAGTAATTTAGACATACCCTTATTTCGTGTAAATAGATAGCTTTTTCGACTTTGACATACCTTCACTTCTAGTAAAATATATAGTAATTCAGACATACCTTCACCTCTAGTAAATAGATAGTCTTTTGACATACCTTCAGTTCTGATGATTGAGTATAGATAGTACCTAAGACATTCACTTATAGTAAATGATATGATATGTCTTCATTTCTAAAAGAAATATGGTAATTTAGTCATACCTTCACTTAAATAGAAAGCGATTTATACCTCACTTTTATCAAATAGTAAGTAGTTGTGACATCCCCACTTCTAGTAAATACATAGTAATTTTGACATACCTTCACTTCTAGTAAGAAATTTTGTTATTTTGGCATACATTCATTTCCAATAAATAGATAGTTACTTTTATTTACTTTCGCTTCTAGTACATAAATAGTTATTTTGACATACCTTTATTTCTAATAAGAATATGGCATTTCAGTGATCCCGTCACTTCTAGTAAATATATAGATATAGACATACCTTCATTTTTAGTAAATAAAAAGTAGATTTTGACATACCCTTGTAAAAAGCTGTAGAAAAAAGATGGTAATTAAGGCATCCCCAACTTCTTGTAAATATATATTTTTTCGACATTCTAGTAAAAAGATGGTTATTTAGACACGTATTTAATACTTGTAAATATATAGTCATTTAACAATACCTTCACTTGAAATAAATAGATATCGAATGAGACAAACCTTCACTCCAAGTAAATCAGTGGTGATTTTGACATGTCTAAGTAATTTAAACATACCTTTCATTTCTAGTACAAATATAGTAATTAAGACATTTCCCGTCTAATAAACATGTGTCATTTTGACATACTCCTCTTGTAAATAGATAGTAATTTTGACATACCTTTACTTCTTGTAAATAGATAGTGATTTTGACATACCTTTACTTCTTGTAAATAGATAGTAATTTTGACATACCTTTACTTCTTGCAAATATATAGTAATTTTGACATACCTTCACTTCTTGTAGATAGATAGTAATTTAACATATCTTCATTTCTAATAAATAGATGGAAATAAGGTCATACTTTATTACTAGTAAAGTAGATAGGCCTGGTATTAAGACACATATCTTAACTCCAAGTAAATGGATGATAAATAGACATACCATCACATCTAGTAAGTAGATTAATAATACCTCCCCTTTTAGTAAAATGGTAGTGATTTGGACATACATTCAATAGAAGTAAATAGATAACGATTTAGACATACCTTCACTTCTAGTAAATATGTGGTGATTTTGACATACCTTTACTTCTATTAAATCGGTAATAAAGCAGACACCACACTTCTAGCAAACATATAGTAATTTTGACATACCTTTACTTTTAATAAAAAAAGACATACCTTCAATACTAGTGAATAGATAGTGATATTGACATAACCAAGTAATTAAGACATGTCTTTACTTCTAATAAAACACCGTAATTGTAAATTTCTTCATTTCAAGTAATAAGATGGAAGTTTAGACATATCTTAACTAGTAGTAAATGGAAAAGACACACCTTCAATACTGGTAAATAGATAGGAATTTTGACCTTCAATTCATTTAGATAAGAAATCATTCAGACATATATTCACTTGTAGTAAATATATAGCAATTTTGACATACCTTCACCTTCAGCGAGAAAGATGGTAATTTAGCAGACCTTCACTTCTAGTAAAAAGATTGTAATTTTGATATACCTGTGCTTCTAGTAAATAGATAGTGATTTGGACATACCTTCACTTCTAGCAAAAATGGTACTAAATACGACAAACCTTCACTTCTAGTAAAAAGATATTAATACCTTCACTTACTTCTAGTAAATAGATAGTGATTTGCCACACCTTAATTTCAAGTAAATAAATAGTAACTTAACATACTTTCACTTCTAGTAAAAAGATATTAATACTTTCACTTCTAGTAAAACGGTATAAAATACGACTTCTAGTAAATAGAGAATAATTTGACATACGTTCACTTCTAGTAAATAAGAAGTAATTAAGACATACCTCCACTTCTAGTAAATAGATAAATAATTTGGCATACGTTCACTTCTTGTAAATAGGAAGTAATTAAGACATACCTTCTAGTAAATGAGTGAATATTTTTGACATACCATCCTTTCAATCATACGTAACATACGTTGACATACGTAAATGTTCACCACTAGCAAATAGATAGCGATTTAGACATACCTTTGCTTTGAGTAAATAGATAAAAATACTGACATGCCTTCATTTCTAGTAAATAGATAGTACTTAGACATACCTTCACTTCTAGTAAATAGAAAGTAATTTAGACATACCTTCACTTCTAGTAATCAGTGGTGATATTGACATACCCTCACTAATAGAAAAAAGGATTAAAATACGACATACACCTTAACTACTAGTAAAATAAATAGTGATTTAACATATCCTCATTTCAACATAAATTCAATTCTAGTAAAAGGTATTAAATACGACATACCGTCACATCTAGTAAATAGATATTAATTTTGGCATACCTTCACTACTAGAAAACGATATGCAGTCACTTCTAGTAAATATATAGTAATTTTGACATACCCTCACTAATTTAAAGACGGTATTAAATACGACATACATTTACCTCTAGTAAAACAATATTAAATATGACATACCTTCACTTCTGGTAAAAAGGTATTAAAAACGACGTACCTTCTCTTCTATTAAAAAGGTATTAAATACGACATACTTTCATTTCTAGTATATAGAAAGGAACTTTGACATACCTTCACTTCTAGTAATACCTGTACGCGTATATAGGGAATAAATTTATATCCACATACTTATGCGTGTATGGTTTTAAATTTTTACATAAGTGTATGTATATGTTACTAAAATAAAAATACATGTGTATGCCGGAGTAAAATATATACTACAAACCTCTTACAGTAAGTAAGGTATATGATTCTAAATTAAAATATATATTCACATATCAGTCAGTTTTTTTATACTAAAATAAAAGTCGTATCTTATACCTGTGCGTGTGCGTGAATGATACTAAAATGAAAGCTAAATCCACATGCCTTAATGTATGATACTGAAATAAAAGTTTTACTCACATACCTTACGTTCATGATACTGAAATAAAAGTTTTCTTTACATACCTTACGTGTATGATACTGAAATGAAAGTTACATCCACATACCTTAGTGTATGATACTGAAATAAAAGTATTTTCACATACCTTACGTGTATGATACTGAAATAGAAGTTATATTCACATACCTTACGTTTATAATACTGAAATAAAAGTTTTCTTCACATACCTTACCTGTATGATACTGAAATGAAAGTTACATCCACATACCTTAGTGTATGATACTGAAATAGAAGTATTTTTCACATACCTTACGTGTATGATACTGAAATAGAAGTTATATTCACATACCTGTTAGTGTATGATACTGAAATAGAAGTTATATTCACATACCTTACGTATATGATACTGAAATAAGAAGTTATATCACATATCTTTACGGTACTTGATGTGTGAGTTAAATCTAATTCACATACCTGTATTTCGATAATACTGAAAAATAAGTTCTCCAGACATAACTGTTTCGTATACTGAAATCAAAATATTCGCTACATACCTATAAAGCGTATCAGGAACGCTTCATAATACTGGTAACTCTTTGCATACATATACTCTCACTAGGTACTTTTCACATACCTAATAACATACCTGTAATACTAATACTGAAATGGAACCAATCTTGACAAATCTGAATCCCTGTATTCATCTATACTGCATGATAGGGTAAGCCTAATAAAAATGTTACACACCTGTAAATTCTACAATAAATGTCCATGTAAATCAGAGAATATTCTTTGAGCTTAGCTGTATATAGTTATGGTCACTTATTGTGCTAAAACGCGTACAGAAAATAACTAAAATCATACATATCCTTGAATAATTATGACAAACATCGAGTTAGAAGTAATGAAGAAAATGTGAAAATAATAGTTTGACACATACCTCATTTAAAAATATAAAAAAACTTACCTTTATATTGATAATATAGTTGATACATACTTTCATTTCAATAAGATACATACCATTATTTCAATAATATAGCTGATTCATACCTTCATTTCAATAAGATAGTTTAAACATACCTTCACTTCAAAGAGAAAGTTGATACATACCTTTCATTTCAGTGAGAAAGTTGAAAAATACCTCCATTTCAATAAGTTAGATGATACATGCCTTTATTTCAATAAGAGAGATGATACATACCTTCATTTCAATAACATACATACCTTCAATTCAATAAAATAGTTGACACATACCTTCATTTCAATAAAATAGTTGAAACATACCTCCATTCAATAAGTTGGATGATACATACCTTCATTTCAATAAGAGAGATGATACATACCTTCATTTCAATAAGATACATACCTTCAATTCAATAAAATAGTTGAAACTTACCTTCATTTCAATAAAATGGATGATATGTACCCTTATATCAAGTCGATAGTAGACACATCCTTATCTTCATTTCCATAAAATAGATGACAGATACCTTCATTTCAATAATATAGTCGATACATACCTTAATTTCAATAAAATAGTTGATACATGCCTGCATTTCAATAAAATAATTGACACATACCTCCATTTCAATAAAATAGTTGATACATACCTTCATTTCATAAAATAGATGACAGATAACTTCATTTCAATAATATAGTCGATACATACCTTAATTTCAATAAAATAGTTGACACATACCTTCAACTCAATAAAATAATTTCGCATACTTTCCTTTAGAATATGCAATTCATTTCAACAAATTTCATAAACATATCTATGTACAATAGTTGACACATCCGTTTATTTCAATAAGATAGTTGACACATACCTTTATTTCAATAATATAGAGCACATTTGAAACATACCTTTACTTTAAACAGAAATATAAATAATGGTGTTCCAATGTTCAAGATATAAAATAATTTTGATATACTCTCTCCTACTGAATAATAATTTGGGTCTTGAGGTACTAAGTATGTTAGAAGTAGAATAAATTCAGCACATACCTTCAGTCTGAATAACAAGAAAAATATTGAGATGATAAAATGTCCAAGAAATATAGTCAAATTGACACATACCTAAGCTTGCTCTCAATAAAATGCATAATGAGGTACTTAATGTCCTAGAAAAGGTATAAAATTAACTCATAAATTCACTCTGAATGAATAATGAGGTACAATAGTCATGTCCTTGAAATATAGTAAAATTGACACATACCTTTGCTTGCTTTTAATGATGAAATATATATTGAGGTACTAAATGTCCCAGAAAAATTGCGAAACTGACACATACCTTTACTCTGAATGATAATATATATATATATATATATATATCGAAGCACTAGATTCATAGTAAAGTTGACACATACCTTTACTTGATCTCAATTATAAAATATATATTGAGGTAATAAATGCGCTAGAAATAGTGTAAAATTGACACATACCTTTATTCTGAATGATAATATATATATTGAGGAAGTAGAGTCATAGTAAAATTGACACATACCTTTGCTTGATCTCAATGATAATATATATAATGAAGTACTACATGTCCTAGAAATAGTGTAAAATTGACACATACCTTTACCCCGACTAAAAACATAGTTGCTAAATGTCCTAAATATAAATCGATTTTGATACTTACGTTACTGCAGATAATAACATTATATGTAATACTTGTTAGAGAAATACAATAAAATTGGAACATACCTTCAAAATTGATAATGTGAATATTGAGGTACTAAATGCCCTAAAATTGTGTAAATTTGACACTTACCTTCACTCTGAATTATACAGATGTACTTGTACTGATTATCAAAGAAATAAGATACAACTGACACATACCTTCACACTGAATAATAATATGAATATTGAGGTACTAAATGACCTAGAAATAGAGTAAAATTGACACATACCTGTGTTTGATCTCAATGATAATATCGATATTGAGGTACGAAATAGCCTAGAAATAGTATAAAATTGACACATACCTTCACTCTGAATAATAATATGGATATTGAGATACCAAAAGTTCAAGAAATAGTGTAAAATTGACACATACCTTTACTCTGCATAATAATATGGATATTGAGATACTAAAAGTTCAAGAAATAGTGTAAAATTGACACATACCTTCACTCTGAATAATAATATGGATATTGAGATACCAAAAGTTCAAGAAATAGTGTAAAATTGACACATACCTTTACTCAGAATAATAATATGGTTATTGAAGTCCTAAAAAATAGAGTACAATTGACACATACCCGTGTTTGTTCTCAATGAAAATATGGATTTTTAAGTACTAAATGTCCTAGAAATAGAGTAAAATTAACACATACCTTCACTCAGAATAATAATATGGATATGTAGATACTAAATGTGCACGCAAGTGTTTAAATTGACACCTGATAAAATTGATACCTTCACTCTGAACAAAAATATGGATATTGAGGTACTAAATGTTCTAAAAATAGAGTAAAACTGACACATCGATAATAATATAGATATTTAGGTACTAAATGTGCACGCAATAGAGTAAAATTGACACATACCTTTACTCTGAATAATAATATCGATATTGAGGTACTTAATGCCCTAGAAAAGAGTAACTTTGACACTTACCTTTACTTTGATCAATAATATCACTTATCTATGTACTAAATGATTTATAAATACTGTAAAGTTTGAATAATAATATGAAAATTTAGGTATTGACACATACCTTCCTTCTGAATAATAATATGGATAATAATAGGTACAAAATGTCCTAGAAATGGTGTAAAATTGATACATACCTTCATTCTGAATAACATTACGAACAAATAAGTGCTAAATGTTCACAAATGACGTGAATTTGTCACACACCTTCACAAAATATATAGGATGGTGAGGAACCAAATGTCTTAGAAATGGTGTAAAATTGACACATACCTTTACTCTGTATAATATTGAAGTACTAACGATCCAAAAGTTATTATCAAAGTGATAAATTTTCCACAAATAACGTAAATTTGTCACATACCTGTCCAGAAAATATAATGGATGCCAAGGGATCAAGGAACTAGAAAAAAGGTAATCTTAAGACATACCTTTACTGTGAATGATAATACATATATTGAAGTACTACAGTCACGTCCTCGAAATATAGTAAAATTGGCACATACCTTTGCTTGATCTCAATGATAAAATATATATTGATGTAATAAATGTCCTAGAAATACAGTAAAATTGACACATACCTTTACTCTGATTGATAAAATATTGTGAGGTACTATAGTCATGTCCTAGAAATAAAGTAAAATTGACACATACCTGTGTTTGTTCTCAATGGTAATATAAATATTGAAGTACTACATGTCCTAGAAATAGTGTCAAATTGACACAAATTGACACTGGTGTATAATTGACACATACTTGTAATCTGTGTGATGATATGGATATTTTTATAAATTTGTCATATACCTTTGCCAAGAAAATATAATGGATATCAAAATATTAAACTAAAAATACTAAAAAAAATAAATGCGAGTCATACTTGACTCTAAATAAAAATATGAAAATCGGGGTACTAAATGTCCAAGACTTGGAATAAAGTTGTCACATACCTTTACTCTGAATTATATTGATGTTATAATAGTTCAAGAAAAATTGTAAAATTGATACATACCTTCAAACTCAACAATATTTGAATACTAATATTTCAACACTTACCTCAGCATTTTTGTTATTGAGGTACAGAATATTTACACAAACCTTCACTCTGAACAATAGAAAGAATATTGAGGACCAAATGTCCTAAATAAAATGGTGTAAAATTGGCACATACCTTCATCTGTATAAGAATATAAATATTGTGCTAAAGTGCTAAAATATCCCAAAAATAAATGTGTCTCATACCTTTACCCAGAATAATAATATGGGTGTTAAGAGATTAAATGAGCCAGGAAATGACTTTTTTCTGAAACACAATATGAATATCGAAGAGCTAAATGTCCTAGAAATAGACTAAAGTTGACACATACCTTCACTCCGAACGATAAAATAAACATCGAGGTAATAAAACAAGTAAATTTAACACATACATTCAATCTGAATAATATTATGAATATTGAGGTAATATAATAGAGTTGACACATACCTTCACTCTGAAGAATATAATAAATATTGATGTAAATATGATGAAGTAAATCTAACACATAACTTTACTCTAAATAACAATATGAATATTGAGGTAATATAATGTAGTAAATCTAACACATACCTTCACTCTGAATAACAATATGAATATTGAGGTAATATAATGTAGTAAATCTAACACATACCTTTACTCTGAATAACAATATGAATATTGAGGTAATATAATGAAGTAAATCTAACACATACCTTTACTCTGAATAACAATATGAATATTGAGGTAATATAATGCAGTAAATTTAACACATACCTTCAGTCTGAAGAATATAATAGAAGTAATACAATAAAGTAGATTAAACACATACCTTTAATCTTGTAATAATCTGATCATTGGAGTAATATATCAAAGTAAACATTTCACATACCTACTCGCTGAATAATATCATGAATATTGGATTAACTATAATGAAGTAAATTTAATACATACTCTGAATAGCAATATGAACATTGAGGTAATATAATACAGTAAATTTAACACATACCTTCATTAGAAGAATAATATGAATATTGAGGTAAAACAAAAATAAAGTGAATTTAACACATACATAATAATAAGAATATTGAGGTTATATAATGAAGTAAATTTGACACATACATTTGCTGTGAATGATAATATGAATATTGAGGTAATAAAAGTAAATTTAACACATACCTTCGATATTAATATATTTATATATTCGAAAAAAAGTATTTGAAACTTATCTTCACTCTTAATAATAATATGAATATTGAGATAATATAATTAATTAAATTTAACACATACCTCCACTCTTAATAATATAATAATATTGAGATAATATAATTAAGTAAATTTAACACATACCTTCACTCTGAATAATAATATAAATATTGATGTTAGATAATAAATTTGATTTGACACTTACCTTCGATATGAATGATATAAGAACTAAATATTTTCGAAAGAAAGAACATTTAACACTTACCTGTAATAATTTTTGAATATTCTCAAAAAACTTCAACCACTTACCGTCATATATATCAGATATTTAAATAGCAATTACCTTGCTTCTATGCATTTATATTCAGTATTATTGTAATTTGTATGATGTAAAAGTATTTGTGATTATGTGTAGTTTCTGAAAAATGAATTGCATTTTCTATATTCTATATTGTGTCCAATGATTGTATTATCATTCGTGTAGGTAGTGAGGTTTTTTGTTACATTTTTGTAGTTATTTTCGTGAATGAATGTCATTGAGTGTCTTAATTGTGTTTTATAACTTATATTATATATCATTTTATTTAGTTATAGATGTTTAAGAATATATTTAATTAGGTGGTATGTAAAGCTGCGTCATTATTAACTCAGTAATCTTTCCTTTTGGTGATTGCACCTATTTGACATAAAGTAATGGTCGGAATTTCAGTTTAGGTAAACAAATCTCAGATATAAAATCGATCAAAGAACGTGTCCATTTTGATTGTCCAAGACCGACTTGTTTATTTTATCGTCAATGATGAGTGTACCTTTTCCGAAATCGCGTTAATGTAAATGCCGAGACTGTTGATAAAACACAGGCTCATTTGAACGTACCAATCCAATGTAAATACCTTTTCCTGATCGGTGTATACTATGTTCTCATGAACTAAGGTGTGCAGGTCAATTGTGACGTAAAATAGGTCTGTTTTCTAGATATGAACTGGTTGTTAGAGTATTAATTAATATTGCAATATCTTTTAAATATCTTTGAAATTATATTTCTGCACCCTTTGTTATGCACCAACTAATATGATACATATTATCTATTACCTATTACATTAAACTGTGCATTGGTTAAGAAAGCGCTTTACTATTTTTGAAAACATCGGAATAATTTGCTTTACTTCATTTCATTTGATCCGGGTAGGCGGTAGGGTTCTTAAAACTCTTCAGTCCATTTATTGACTATAAATTACGATTTAGACAGAAATGTCGTTTTACTTTGCCTTTGATTTTACAGATATACCCCACAACACAACAGTTATGAAAACATAACTCACCTTTTGTGATTTTGATTCAAAACAGGTGATAAAAATAAAACAGAAGGACAAATAAAATCCTTATTTCTACAACAGAAATATGCAAGCACATAGCTCTTGTTCATTGATGGCTTTGGCTTTGGTGTTTGCGTACTTCATTTGGTGTTAATTTCAAATGCTAAAAAACTTTTCATGACTTCAAACGTCATCACCGGCTTCATCATCGTAATTATCATAATTACTATTGTTCACCCAAATTAAAAGAAATAAGCCAAGCCAATGAAGGTGGTAAATACCAGTCCCAAAACAAAATGAGAAAAATTTAAAATAAAACCTTCAAATACCTACCTCTTCGGGAAACGAAAAACGTGCAAATATTCTACGAAACAGCTACTTCTACTTAAAATGGCGTTTCCAATCTGCTGGACAGTGCAATAGGCCAGCCATAGTGTATACATAAAATCATGCAATGAGGTTAACAGATAAACAGAAGAACCAAATTACCACTTTATTCAAACACCACACAATCAACCACTGGATTGGTCTACTAACCATTACGTTAAGCATTAGCTGATACGAAATAAAGGAATAGGCATAACATGTCAAAAAATAACCATAATATATATTATGCGGCTTTACAGGGATCTATTCCATGGTACCATAAGTCGCAACCCGAAACCTCTCGAGCAAACACCGCCTAGCTGTTAATGTTAACACCAATATACACAGGAATGAATTGTACAGGAAGTAACATTATATATACACATCTACATAATATCACATTTATTCACATCATGCGCAGCCGCAACTTTCATTTCCGTTTCCAAAATTAAAGAATACTGTATGTTAAATTTCCACACATCACAATATCGTGCAAACATCAGAAAAATGGAACCTGATATAGTTTAATAACTTCATATATTTGATTTCCTTGACTGTTATGTGCTTATCTAGATCGATCTTCTCGTGCACGTATGTACTGGAATACCAGATCGTCGTTTGAAAATCAAATCTTCCAAACTCTTTCGTTTGAATACAGAACTCAGTCGTTTGGAAACGTTACCAAGTATGCTACGTCGGCGTTTAACAGGCTTTGCATACTGATTATCAATAACTATTGCATGAGCAATCAGTTCCCGGAAGGCCACGTGTATTGCCTGAAAGTCTTCTGCAGCAGAGACCTCATATAATTTACAGTTGTAGCAAAGTGCTGTCTGGCGTACTTCACTCACGCTCACGTCGCGTAGATGCTCAAGATCTGTTTTGTTTCCAAGAAGCAGTATTGGAAGATGTGATGTGTTAGGATTTCTCCGAAGTCTCTCCACTTCACTTTTGGCATGATAAAATGTTGCTCCATCAGCCACATTATAGATGATGACAAAGGCATTGCCGTCTTCTCTTGATACATTCTGATGATAGTCGCTCACGTTTTCCTGTAACAAAACATGTCCAAGTTAATTGATTTGATGCTCGCAAACATGATGGCACAATCATCACAACAAGTCTTGCTCTCCGTCTTCATTACAGTAGGATTTCAAATTCTATTCAATTTCAATTAAGTCTTGCAGATTGTTATTTAAAACCTAGAAAATGTTGCTAAGCAAAACATTATTTTGTGTTCGAAATGGTCCAAAGACGAAATAAATACCCGTGACAATGTCCCCCATTGACAGCAACTATACTGAACATTTCTTTTAGAAAAAAAAATACATTTGGAATTGATTAGAAGAATAGATTTGAAGAAAGTATTTGATGAAATTTGCCATCGATAAACAAGGCTAAATATATTTTTCATTTAGTTTTTAGATTTAGAAATGACATTTAACTATAAATGAAATGGGTGGTCTGTGCGAAATATAAGCACATTATAATAATTAATGTTCTAAAAGTGAATAAGGTTCGAAATCTTTTATCAAACTATATTCTTATGGTACACCAATAAAACCAATATTGCAGTAAAATTCTTTATGTCTTATTCAATGGTCGGGATGAATTGATTCGGGGCAAATATACTGTTTTATTAGACCGAGTTTCAAAAAAATATAAAAGATAAAAAGATTGAATCGCATACATGTTTCAAAGAAAATACTCTATGACCCCAAAGTAAAAGTAAATGTTTTATTGGTAAATTGACGACAATCCAAAATCACTTTCCTTTTTCAACAGTTGCACTGGTTATTTTAAAAATATCAAAAAGAAACCATTCATTATGTCGATTTAAACCGCGTTCAAGTCTGAGGTTTTGTGGTTGCACAAACAACGTTCTGAACTTATTTCTGTTAAAAGTATACAAGACCATCCAGACTGTTTTACAGGTATTAGCATAAGGATTGGGTAAAATACATAAAATAAAAAATTCATTTTCTTTGAAGACAAGCAAATGGAACAACCGTATAGATTTTTGTAGCTGACATTTGTCAATGTTCGTCGATATTCGAATTTTGAAATAGAGAAAAGACGACATAGACTGTCTCAAAATAAAATGACACAAATTTTTAAATTTGAAAAATACGACCTACATCTGACGATGTTTCCGTTAAAAATTTGAAAATGGTAAATACAAGTTGAATTAGTCTGAAGTTTTTTTTGGTTCTTGAAATATTTAACAAAGCGAACTGGAACTTTGATGACGTAACCGACGTTACGAATTCGAAAATTTCGAACAGACGACACTTTGCTTATTTTCAAATGTCTATCTGCTGAAAGAGTTTATTGAAAGTCGAACCCATTCGTAGGATTGTTGACGTATTAAGCCTAAGTCAAAAATCCCTTAATCGAAAATTCATTACTTTTTTCTAAAAGTAAATTGAAGCTTGTCTGATATCATCGAAGTTTTTAATTCCAAAAATACATTGAAAAATCATAATTTTCCATCACCAACCTTTTTGTTAATATCCTTCAAGTATTTAAGCTCTTATAGAAATCTCCTGACATATAGTATCGAATCAAAGTGAAAAATGACACATTGAAAGGTTGACCAATATAAATATGATAAACGTTAATCCATTCTAGATTTTATCGATTAGTTTTGACTGGTATCAAGATATCATACATCGATAGAGTGCTTACAAATAAATCATTGGGTACTAACGAAATATCGGAATGTGATAACCGAACACCTCAGTTTATCGACAAACAAAACGTTGTTTGGATAGGCATCAAATGGGAATATTTTATAAGAACTAACAACTAGCGATGAAGAATACAAGAGCTATTTACCGAATGCGGTGACGTATCTGTAATCTCTATGTTGAATGTTTCGTCTCTGGCATTCCATACTGTATGGTAGGTGTGATCTACAAAATATACAACATAATCCTTTTGTTTGCAAGTATATGATTATTGGACCCAGTTATATTTAAGTTATGATGGGATTTCAAGGTTGGTGACGTCATTTTTCACCTTGAAGAAAATCGCACTTAAGAGATGTCGAGCAAATTTGACCACCAGTGGTCAACGCAAACAATAATATTTGCCTGTTTGGACTGTAAGGCGGAATCGTCTCGAAATGACGTCATATCAAAGGTTGCTGGTGAAACGAGTCCATAATACTTGCTTCTTTCCTTCCTATTGCGGACAATACTGCAAAGCTGTTTTTTACCAATATGACCTTCTAAAATCTTAGTCCAATCAAACAATCTCGATTTTTATGCAATCAAATCCGAATATACCAATTTCAAGTATTGCAAAGAAATCAAATATATTAAGGATGGCCAGACCTGGCGATTCAAAGCATCTCAAAGCCATCATGAGCGAAGCACTCTGATCAAATTCTTTCAGATGCCTCTATTTGCCGGAAGTCGTTGGAAGTCTAGTTGCTGCCAGATTCTGCCATTTACCTCAACGCACCCATACCCTCTTCTGCCGGAAGTCTAGTCTTAGGTCTTATTACCCCTAACAATAAAATATTCCAGTTCCATTTTTCTGGCATGATTTCCAGGTTTAGAATCTATAGATTTTCATATTGTAATCTGATCCCTTGTCGAAGTGTATGGACGAAAAAACGAACATTTCCAAAACCTTTTTCTAGATTGTCACAATCCGAATTAGCAAAAACTGTTATACAAAATTACGACAATGTCTTAAAATCTTTATTTTTTTCTAGTTTTTAATTATCAATTGTAGATAAATTTAAACCAAATTTTAAAACATCGATTGAGTTAGCTAATCGGGCGAGTAACATTTCTCTAAAAGTAAAGTGGCAATGCAGGAAAATTATTGGTATCAAATATAGATGGGTCATAAAATTCCAGAAATTAATCTTATTGTGTCTAGATTTCAAGTCCCTATCCAATGGAACCGTTCTCGATATTATTCTAGAACGCACTTAATAAATGTTATCACGACAAATATAATCATCAACAAAGGTATTTGCGGATTGATAAAGAGAATCTTCTTATGACGTCAGTTCTTACCAAAACTGACCCGCACTCAAGGTATATTGATCAAATATAAACAAATATCTCTGGCCAGACTCAGTTCGTATAATCAAACCTAGATTAATCCAAATAAATACAAACATCAGTACACTTTAATGGTCAAGTCGAAGGTGCTGGTAACTATGTCATCTCAACAATACACACACGTCATTGAACGAAAATTATACCAAGAGCGAAATTTAAATAATTTTAAGTAGAACTTGTCTGTGTTCCTACATTTTTTACCTAATAATAATAATGGGTAAAAGCTACTTTTAAATGGAACTGGCTGCAATGTGCAATGATCATGAGCCAATATAGTTTGTTCAAGTACGTCGATCTCACCAAAAGCAAGATCGGTATTATCGTCACCAATATTGTTCGGTGATCAAAAAATCATATCTCATCGCATGTTTTACTAACTTTAGTCCATATTCATGAGGCATATATATTTTGTCATAATTTGCTCCTTGTTTGAATTACAATCCAGACGTAAGATTACTTTTTCATTATAGATGTAATTATAGAGCTATCCAGTCTGTTCATTCATTTCAACAAAGGGTCAAGCCACTATGGAAGCCCATTTAACCAAGAGTTGTCATAAAACAGATAGCCTGTATGTTTCCAACACCCTTGTTGTCAAAAAAAGTTTCAGACGAATTTCGTTTCCATTACTTTGACTAAGACAAAATTTTTCATGAAAACGTTCTGATAAATTAGCCTGATATATAAAACAACCACAAACCTGGATAAAAAAATGCATTTTGTTCTTACCTGTAATCGAACTGTATTCGCCAATGAATCTCTTTGTCAAGAATCTCACAGTGATAGCTGAAATACAAAATGGGTATATTAGCTTACAGGAATAAGCTAACACAAGTGTAACTGTCTCCGTATTCATTTCATGACTTTAACAATCTAAACAACAACATTTATTGCAATGGAAATGCACTATTAAACAACTCGGCAAATAATGTGGAAGCAAACAACCAAGTAAATGCAGTCTGCCTATTTTTGCAGTTGTTCGAAAGATCACATCGCTTGATATGAATAACTCCTTCGTATTACATCGTACAGGTCATCTCTCCCCATCTCTGTCGTGTGACTACAGCATTGGCTCTGGAATGATTGGCAACTTCAGTAGCGGATCTATTACACACTGCTATCCATATCACACAATTTTCTAATATCCAAGAGAACAATCCATCACCATCATGCACGAATATGGGTGTCAAGAAACATCAGATGGAAAATTTCCAATGTTGACTTCTTGTTCTTGTTCAGTGAGTTGCCTTACTTTTCCTATACAATTTAAGTCCTATTATGACATCATTGACCCCCATTTCCAGTCCAGCTGCTTATATGTTATTACACCTGTGATCACCATAAGACGAACAATAATTGTTAGGATCCAGTTATAATTTCTTCGAGTTCATTTTGATGATGCATTGAGTAGCTGGATCCTCAAACCTAAAGATGGGTTTCCCTATTTTTTTTAGTGTCAAATTAAGCAAACTATTGTTTCTAATGAATTATTATTTGTTTTTAATTATATCATTATGCTCTTATAGCATATAGTTAAGAGTTTTAACCAATCATAAATGCCCATTGGAATTCTACTAATTCTCTTCTAATATAGTTAATTATGAAGTAATCATCTAATTAGTCATATAAGTATTAGCATTTCCATTTTCTTAAATAAAAATAAGGGAACCCATCTTTAAGTGTGAAGATCCAGCTACCCAATGAAATAACGTTATACAGTCCACGTCCATATCATGCTCTGACTTTAATGTCAATAATCATTTGATCCAATCCATTCGAATACCACAAAGGTCAACCAACTTCATAGGTCCAAATCCATCACCCCATTTGCATTAAAAAACAAACGAATTCATAACTCACTGAGCAACTGAGCACATTCCTTGAATATAAGTTGTAGAATATTACTAAGCGATCAGTAACAAAGACGAAATTCCCAACTGATTGTTGATTGGCAAGTCACAGAGTATAAGTTGATACACTTGTATTGACTTTATATCTAGGCTTTGGCAACAGAACGAAACCAAGATCAATTGTAAACATTGGTTTAAATAACCATTAAAATACGAAGTTTGAGCACTAGCAATTGGTTGTTAAAACCTAAATGGTTTGTATATCCAAGACTTTAAAACAGTTTTGAAGCTTTCAGCAACTTCTGAAGGCAAGCAGTTCATCAATGCAGGATGTTCACATTCAGATAAGAGCAATAAATTCACAATCCAAATCCATGTACATACATATTCACATTCGATTCCACATGAAGTCTTAGTCTATAGCATTCCTAGATTACCAAAAACATTCAAGATCCAATTCTTGCATTATACATTTGTTATGTATTGATGACAATACTGTTCTGATGGTTGTATGAATATGAACTTGAGTGTAGGTATTGTTTAATGGTGTAAATAAACGTCAAATAAAACGTATTGTGTTAAAGTAACACTGCATGATATTGAAAATGGAAGGCTTTCGGATATCTTTATTGAAACGATGCTGGATATCTAATATTCTGGTTGCTGCAAGAGCCTAAAGACAGTTACAAGCTTTAGAATACTATTTCCTTATCCCATGTCGTTATCTTGAAAGAAGTGCTCTCTGTTTACCATCATTGTTTCTGCTCATCACAAATAAAACTTGTAATTGACAATGCTGATAGATTGACATAAGCCTCAACCATAAGATACGTTTATACTAGAGTGCACTACACTTTGCCATACCTCACAACAACAGGTACTCGGCACTCATTTTTCAATATCTGGTATTTGCCCATCATAAATTCTTCAGAAGCATCATTATTTGCAATTCTCTGCACTTTTATTAATTTCAAGTTCAGAATACTTTGGCAAGGATCAGAAGTGACCTGGGTGAACTGAGATTAAACAGTGTAGTTTATCTTCTCTTGATCCAAACGGAAACAATGATTTACTCTGTGGATTAAACTGGATAAATGAAACGATCTCAAGGGTCATTGAGAACTTCACAGATTAACATCAAAGACAATACAAGCAATGGCCTTCAGCGTTGTTGAGAGCAATCTGAACAGTACCATCACCAAGGGTTGCAGAATCTTTTTCTCGTTATGCTTACCATTTGATACATAATTCAAGGAATATATGACATTTTGTGCAAATTAGCGAAAATTGATGCATTCAACTTTGGTTACCAATGCAAAATATAGAATAAGGAATACAAATTTGGAATTCAAGTAATATCTTTTAAATATTGCATGCACTTACCAGATTTGCCTACGTTTTCAGCTCCAAGTACGACAATTCGTAATGTCGATACTTTAGCCTTCATAGTTCCTAACACATCCAAAACATTTGATTGAATGATGAGCTAGTGAAATTTCAACAGTTAAATCTAAACGTAAAGCCCCTTGTTTATTTTTCTGGTGAGTAACATCGCCTCATGTTTGAGGTTGACACCATTTCACGAAACGGGGGGTTTAGACAGGGCACTATACGTAAACAGAACAATCAACATACGACAATCTGTACCAATTTGTTGTTATACACCTGTATTGTCTTGTATGGAACAGTCCATTTTTCGATTAACCCTTATTTAAATATTGCACCAAAGTGTATTTTTAGTGTTTCTTTAATTCCAATGGATCGAGACTCTGTTCAAAATAAACCTGTGCCCTGTTTCTCGATATTGATTGCCAATGTAATTTTTTGCAAAAGTTTGTTTAAGACATTATTGAAGGAAATATTCTACGTGTAACCATATATGCTTTCACATGTGGTTTGCCAAACAATTTTTTCATGCAGTTGGCAACATCGAAATTAAACTACAAGAATGCATGTTTAAGGAAACTTTTGTATACATAAAGATCGGCATCTCGGTGCGAGTTGACAAAATGCATGTGAGAAAAACAAAAATGGTGTCTTAATGTTTCCTTTTTCGGAACAGGTCAGATAAAGACTAACAATAAATGTTCCAATAAAAAAAATACATTTGATTATTCTTTGCCGTATAATCTGACACTTTCTTCACCAAGCAAGTTCTGTGTATTTACATTCAAATTGTGGGATTAAAATATCCATATTTGGCTCTGGAGAATTTCCGTTGTTTCCCGAAATAGCAACGATCAACATTTCCCAAATTAATCTTTTTGCTCTTAGTTAAATACCGACAAATAGTGCAATGTTTAATTATGTATTGCTATGAAAGCTGAAGTTGTATTTTGAGACGCGAAAGATTGTTACGTCTGATCACAAAATTGGTTTTGGATGAACATGAATCGGCATGCTACTAAAAATAGAAGTTATTTAATGCAATGCACTGTGTACATCAAATGAATTTTTTTTCTTTCACATAGAAATTTCAATGTTAAGTTATATTATGAAATATGATAAATAAATACACAAACATGAATAAATATATTAATATAAGATGATTTTCGGTACGATCAGTGAGGCATTAACAAAAGTCTGGGGACCTTAGATTCGTTGAGATGTTTTACCTACATGTAGAATGTTTCATATTTCTAAATAGCTCACAAAAACAGAGTTTTCCTCTGGTAACTTTCAAAGTTCAAAGAACTTATTGAATTAACGTTTCACTGCAAAATATCCTGTGAGGTATGTTTCCAGAAAGGCATGGTACCAAAGAAGAGTAGGGCGTAAAACTCCATTCGTTTCATTTTTACCATTTTAAAATAGGGATTGCCAATTCAATCATTCCTTTCAGAGAGACCTATGTGATATCTTGACATGATCGTTTGGGACCAAAAGGAATATATCATCATGGTTTATCAATATACAAATAATGTGTTCCGTGGTGATGAAACCTATATATCTTACGTTGTTCTATGACAGGAGTTTACAACCTGGGGATCAAGCACAGTGGCGTTTCTACGAAACATCAGGTGAGAGGACCGAACAGGTGCTAAAATTTCTTTCCCTATGTAAAATGATAATAAAATTTAAAAGTGGGGTGCTAAAGCCGGGCTAGTCTTTTTTTCTGGTCGACCATGGCCCCCCTGACCCCCAACCCCTGGTAATGCAATCATTAAGGATCCTGAAAGGGCTAATAGAAAGGAAAAACCTTGTTCCATTCATTTTTTCTAATTTTGAAAAGGGTTCATCCCATCGTGATAATACGCCATTTCACCAAGTTTAGTGAAAATTTACCAAAGCACTATTGACATATTCGACATTGCTTGTTGAAATTAATATTTAGTGATTCGTGTCACAAAAGAACAGCTAGAGCTTAAAATGAATTTTAAAAGAAGGTGTATTGGCAGCAAGGCAGTTTTCTGTGATCAAACTGCCCAGAAGGGGTTCTTGCTTAAAAAAAAGCATAGAAACGTTTGATGTAAATATTATCATTCTATTTTATTTCTGAAAATGACAAAGTGCATAATGATTAAAATAGGTGTCGATCAAATAATTATTTTGTGAAGTATACACCGTCCATATTTATGTATACTTGAGGCCACTTGATGTAAGTAAATATGTTCTGGACAAAATCTATGTTAGCTTACCCTGGTTCAACCTATTCTTACTAGCTCCATTCTTATTTAAAAACCAGAATTTTAAGGAAACAGACTGAGTGTAACAGGTAAACCATTTGGACAAAAAATGTCTTTGCTGATCAATAGTGAGGGAAGAAATATTCAAAGAAACAGTTGTAAAAAAGTATGCAATTTTGTTACGTTTTATATCGGGCCAAATGAGTGCGTTGTGTTTTATGTTTGTGTAGTTTGTCAATAAAAGACACCGTGTATCTATATACAGTTTTAGACATTTTGTTAACTTTGTTTTATGGCATGCCAGAAACATTTTGTGCAGAGAAGTTGAAATGGTTAATCTTTCCTGAAATATCTTATAACATTCTATTTTTGATTCATGCAATACCGGTTTGGATTTAGATATTGTTGGATGTTACGACTTCTTTTTGTCAAGGCGCCAGAAATTTTGTTACACAAAAACCTTTCAAGTTTACACAAACTCTTCTAACTAACATACCAAGAATGTGGAATTCATAAAAATAAAACGATTGCAAAAGAAAATTCATAAAATCTATGGAAATCAAAAAGGCATGAATTCAAAAACAAATTATGGAGTGATTATTTTAATTTTGAAAAATGGCACGGATAACTAAAATTGAGATTCATCTCTGCTCGTAGATATTCGAACATCCAAGTTCCTTTTAATGTTCCTAATTTGTGTTCTGAACCGTGATCACATGAGTAATTTAGTAATTTAATTCAGACCCCCCCCCCCCTGTTTTACTCAACTGGAAGACGAAATAAAAAACTCTTCTGATTTTACGCATTTTCAGTGATGCAGGTCGGAGGGGTTGTCGTGGAAAAGGCGTCTCGGCAATGAACGGAGGCCAGTGTGCTTCATACTGTGGAAATCGTAGTAGAATAACGTCGGTTAATTGAAAAGATTTTTGTCACTTCACACTGCGTGGCGTTGCCGTCTTCATTAGCACCATTCGGTGCGACAAAGTAGGTTGTTTCAACAGGTTGTTTTTGCCTACTGATTTGAGCCAGTGACTTCCGTATATAGTATATCTATGATTGACAGTTAAGAACTAATGTTTAGGTATTTCATTCATTATTTCAAATATAAATGTAATTTATATGACGACATCATTTTGACGAGAGGACGAACTTTATGACAAATGACATTGAAGCAGGTTATGTTTGTTTATAAATACATAGGGTATGTCAGGTTATTTATAATTGTGTTATAATAATAGCCCCGCCACACGGGACTGTGACCATTTGCGATCTTACAGCGACGGAAAATGTACTAGGTCGCGGTCAAACGTGAGGAAAATTTGAGTCCCAAAAAATTATGAACATAAAAACAAACGACCTCATAAAGGCAGTAACTATTCGACCATATTGTGTTCTTACGTTTTTTCCCCGATTGTACTGTGTGACGACCATCTTGATCCCTCGATCCCTCGAGTCCTACACGCTTATACCACTCTTATGGCGACCTTTATAAAACTCTCTGAACCAATTTTCCGTCGCAGTTAGAACGCCTTTCCGGTGTGAGGGGGCCATTAATAAAAAGTGGATACGTTATACAAGACATTGTCTAGACGTATAAATGATTGTGCAAACAAAGCAGGTGTTATGACATGGAATTTTATTTTTGTCAAACACTACGACAATCTTGATAAAGTTGATTAATTGAATCAGATAGAATTCATCAGCAAATACATATATGTCAAACACATAATTGCATGATTTAGACAGAATTTGAATTGATACCATGCATCGACGACAAAAAACTATTAAATTTAAAAATTCAGGACAGCGGAAATAACCCCTGGCAAGCAATATGAAAGAGGGATTTTAGAAAAACTTTAAACCACCCAAAACCTTTTGTTATTTCTCCATCCAACAACAAAATATGCTTTTCTGTTAGCCTCTTAAAAAGCATCTGAAAATACGGACCTCTTTCACAAAAATTAACTTCGGATAATTTTAGTGGTCAGGAAATCTGATTACCGTATTTTTTTTAAAACCAGGAATTTGCCAGGTCCGTGTTCGTTTCCCGTGCTTTTTGACCCACACCCGCAGTAAATGTTGCGTGACATAATTCTCATAACGTATTTTTGTTTTATTTTCATTACTGAATTTCCTATGACGTTATCACCTTCAGTGTAACTCTTATGTTATAATGGTTTCCTTGTTGTAGAGAGTGGGATCATAATGACGTCAATGTACCGGTTTAACGTCTGACGTCAAATTGGAATTGCAAGATTATGCAATTAAAGGGACAGGTTCGCCATCCGTTATTTTTTTAAGCAACGCTAATCAGTAATAGTGTTCACAGCTAATCGTTGAAATGTGAGCCTTCAAATCCGTGTGTGTTCATAAGTATCCGTATTTGAAAGTTAAAAAGACGACTCGTCTATCCTTGAGACTCTGTCATTAATAGTAAAAGTCGTTTCTATTATTGCAATAAAAACAGTATTTAAAGTAATTTTCAATGTAAGAATGTAAGCTTGTATACTGTCAAAAGAAACAGTTATATAGTCAATGGATATATCATTAAAAAAACAAAAACTGTGATATTTGCTTTCTTTTCTTTTTAACCTCTTGACTCTACCTCTTGTACAACCAATGTTTTCATTAGTGAATGTTTCGAAAACTTAACAAAGTGAAAAAATGGTTGAAGCCGTTGCTAAATTGTTACCAAAATGGGCAGGTTTATGGTTCAGCACACACAAATATGACATACCAAGAGCAAACGAAATCTGCGTTATGTTCTACCCTTTTACTACAACTACCACATATCTTCAGGTGCAACATTTGCAGACATATGTCTTTGTTCACGCAGCTGTTTATGATTAATGACATTGCAAAAGCGCGACAAAATGGTCATTAATCAAAAAATACTTTTTCTGTAAGCCGGACTTACTAATGCTGTGTACATCTCGTTAAGATAAATTGCTATGAAAATATAATAGTTTCCGTTGACTGAGGCTTCAAGTACAGGGAAACTTTTTTCTTTTTTCTGTAAGGCGCAGAAACTTTTGCAGCTTTATGCTATTTGCATCCCTGTAAGATGAATTATTATGCAAAATATAAAAGTTATGATATGTAGACTTTCCGTTAATTGCGGCTTCGACAAATTACCAGGAAACTTGGGGTGACACTTGAAATTGATGTGAGAGGAGTAAGTATGTTGATAAAAAAAAAATGTATGTCTATCCTTATTGGATAGTCACGGTTGATTGAATACATATTATTTTTAAAAGTTCCGCACAATTTTGTTACAAAATAAAAACGTCAATGGATTTTGCTGTATATAAACGTGCATAGATGGAGAATATGAACGACATTTGTTTTAAAAACAATTTCCATTTTTCTAAAACAAGAGACAAAGTTAATCCTCGTGATTGTAATAATACCGTGAAAATTCACCAAATTATGAAAATGGTTTGAAATAGAATCGGATAATTTCGAGAAAAATTTTCAAGTGTGAAATCATCGATGGAATTTTCTGTACTTTTTTGTGTGTGTTTTATTTATTTTTTAATAATGTATTTGACAAATATGTGTTGTGTTGCCAATCCAATTCGGCATAAACATGGAAATCATCATCGACATCATCATCGACATCACCAGGAAGATCATAATCATCATCTGCATCATCAGGAACAGCATCCAGAAACCCCTGAAGAAGTCACAGGTACATAACATTTTCATAATCTTTCTTTACTGCAATGGCTTCAGTTTCTGCATCTATATGATTTAAATTTTTGTATAACGTCCGATTTTCAATGAGTTACTTCGAGGGATTGTCTGATACACTGATAGCATCAATTTGCATAATTCCAATTTTTAATCAGACGTCTGTGGTTCCTGCAATTCCACTAAATCTAAGTGTTTGATGACATCACTAATCGCGAAGGATCTTATTTGACGTCATCAAACACCTAGTTTTAGTGGAAATGCTGGAACCACAGATGTCTGATTGAAAGTGAAATGGTGTAATTTTATGCTATTAGCGTCCCCGATACACATAAACATTTTAGAAAACCTCTTTACAACACCTTTAATGCCACTGTATGCCAACCAAGGGGAGCGAAGCTGTGCTTTGCATGGTCGGTACGTGTAGCCTAGATCTGTTCCTACAGAAATATTCACTATCCTATGAACTATCTCTAAACTTTCTGCATCTGTTTATTCTTTAATGATAATCTTTTTTTTGCTATTATGCATATTTTTGTCAAATGAATATGATGAATATGCCACTGAATGCTCGTAAGCGAATTCTTTTCTCTCTCGGTTACACAAGGATTAACCAGAAATTTCAATAAATTTCTATAAAAAATCACTCATTTCATCGAAAATAAAATTTCTATAAATATATCATTAATAAATAGCTTTCATCAAAAATATACAACAACCGAAAATATAAAGGAACGATTTGTGCTTACTGTCAAGTTTGAATTTAAAGGGATTGTAAAGAAGTCAGTAATAAATAAATTTCGTCGAAAATACAATTTCTATAAATACATCAGTAATAAATAAATTTCATCAAAAATATACAACAACCGAAAATAGGAAGGAACGATTTGTGCTTACCATCAAGTTTGATTTATAGGGATTGTAAATTGATTTAAAATTAGAATTAAGCAAATTGATGCTATCAATTGATGTCCCCGATACACATAAAAATTTACAAACTCTCCTTTTAGTGTATTTTTTATAACACGGAAGACGAAATGTACTTGTTAGCACTTCCTTGAAGAGAGATTTTCTTGTCTCATTATGTCATGTACTCGCTGAATATTGTCCAATTGAATATCAAGACAAGGGCATTATGATAGGGGAAGACGTAATGAACCTGTAAAAGTCAGAAATATGTTATTTTCACTTCCTAAATATATTTTATATTGCCGAGTAGGCGGTTTGTCTATATCTACTGACCTACTATATTGGTATATTTGTCCCATTTTAGCTATATATTTATTATTAGAGGTGATATTGAGGTGATTTCGGTGTGCTTTATTTTTTATATTATTCACTATTACAATAAACTATTTTCGTCATTAAAAGGGCGATAAAAATTCAAATATCAATGACAGAAATTTCATTTTGTCTATATACCTAAAAGCATTTTTTTTTCAATGAACCAGGACATTGGAAAATCAGTGTGTTTCTGTTATGAAATTAGCAGAATAGTAAATGGTTTTCAAGAGTCGAAATTCCGCCGCCCACTTATCAGCCTACATGTTGTGGATGCACTGGACGCATTATTGAAGTCGCAAGACGATTTATTTCTGGGTAGGCTCTAAACCATAAACGCATCGATATCTACATAGCTGAATTATTTTCCACTTGATATTTTGTATTGATTTCTCACTATATTTGGTATTATTATTTTTTAGATATGTCTCGATTAGATGAAATTATACGACACAGATTAAATTCAGAAGAATTAAGAAGATTAGAAAGAAGAGTTAATAATACAATAGATGATATATATTCAGAATTCGGTATGTTCCTCTTGCAGTGTCTTTATTTCTTTATAGTAACATCACACGTTTGGGAAAACAAAAAATGACTATTAAACTAAAAAGGCCATAGAAGAGGGCAGCAAATAATGGCAAAAAAAGACAATAATTATTACACCTCGTCATATACCTGATGGCATTGTGAAACCACATGGAAACTTTGAAAGTAATAAAGTTTAGTCATTATGGTTGCCAATAGTGTACGATTTTGTACTTTGTGCTGCAATGATATTGTCCTTTTTTTCATTATCTTAAAAATCTCAGAATGGTATCTCAACTGAAAGTAAAAACTTCTGCTCAAAGATTTCCATATATCGAACCTGAATTGTTAAATTCAGCGAATCATTTGTGACCCAAACATTTATGGAAAAAAATGAAAAAATGTTAGACACACATAAATGATTTCCAGCATGATATTGATGTAGCTTCCATGGATAAAATCTTTGACTAATGATATCAGAAATACATATTTTTGTGCGCATTAACTTCCGGTTTGATCGAACGGGTGTCTATTGGCTCTGATCCTGAAAACAGATAATCTTAAATGACGTTTCGATTGTACTCGTGTTTTTCAGTCAGTCGGTGTAGACATCTATCAATAATACCGTACCTAGATTGTTTGGTACAAGCAAAGGAAAGATCTGTTCGACAAACTAGAGGTAAAGAAACTTTTTGTTTTGATAAATCTTTTTAATATCGATTTGTGAAACGCGATGACGTATTGTTCGTACAGTATATTAAATAGCATATTAAGTCCGTAATTTTTGGGCCCTGGCCCCCACCTCCGGAAATAAAAAAATGAAAAATTTATTCCACTTTCGCTTTCAAAATAGCGTTAAATGTATTCTCCGGCTTTCGACATTAAACAATTTCCTTGACTCCAACCATGGCTAGTACCTCTAATTTCAGTTTGAACTTTCCTTTTACAGTGCGGTTATGTTCAGAGACAATGGAAACGTATATATCTTGTGTATTAGATAGACACTCGTTACATCGAGAGTTACGAGGTAAGTTTAAACTCTATACCTAGAAAACCTTAATGAATCAATTTAAAATGAAAAGGATAGTTTGTATTACCAGTGTAATTTCAGGCCGTTATTTTGTATTCCTATTAACCAAAAACATTCTATAATGGATATACAATATCTAGAATAAAAATTCGAAAAATTTAATGCTGTTAAATTTTTAAGCATATTTTTTACGAACTATGTTGCTGCGTGGTTTCACGATTAAAAATAATACAATTCATTGAGCACTCTATCTTACTTATAGTTTGTCAGTTTATGATTGATTCGAAATTTAAAATAAACCCTTGCTCTCAAATAATTGAAAATACAATAGCGCCTTTTGGTCCATTATTTGAAAATTTCCAGCGCATTTAACTGGCATGTCTGTCGTAACCGGTTGTATAATGTTCTCAAAAGAGTTTAGAACGATTTGGGTGCTTTCTAGAAAATAGTGCGAAATTTTTCAAATATTTTACTTTCAAATGCGCATGTCGAACTAGTCTTCTATCTTTTAACAATATCTTTTCAGAACGAAGTTAACAGAACAAGATAAAAAGAGAAGTTAAATTCCTAAGTTTGTGTTTGATCATTACGGGTTTCTTAAGTTATTCGTCTGCTTATTGGGTCCCGAGCACAATCCCATGTCATAAATTATGGGTTTACGGTGTATGGTTGGACAAGTGGTTCCGTTTTTAAATCACAATTCGATGTAGACTGCTCAAAAAATCTGAGTTGAACTGTTTTATTTCAATCTGGAAGGGCCCTATAAGCAATTTATGTCATCATTGTAATACTGTCTTTGTAAATAAATGTATAATATTGTTATAATTGCTTGTTGTTCATTTCATTATTGTAAGTAGTACCATAGTTAATGTATATCTTAATTCCTCGAGGACAGATTTTAAAGGTATTTAGCAGTTGAGTTTCACATTTTTGTTAATTTAAAATTTGGTCAAAGTATTGCCTCTTTCTTTAATGTGTCAATGGTATGTATCAAAGGTGTATGAGTGCAGAAGAGAGTCCAAATAATGTCGGAACAAAATTAAATGGTTTAAACAATTTGGAAATTTGGAACTCATTTCTAAGGACGCCTGTTCGGTGGCTCTTAAATGTGGTATATTTGAAGCCCTGTCTTTTCAAAGAATCCTATTTAATTTCAAGTATTCCTTTCAAACACAAACGAAACATTGTTAAAATCATGTTGAATTTATTTCCAACTGCTGTCAATCTATATAAGAGAAATTTAATAAATAGTCCCTTGTGCCGATTATGTAAATTATCAAGTGAAGATTGTTTGAATGTAAAGTAACAGAAAACTATAGGATTGGTATCAATACTGTACATATAACCAGAAACAACTATCTAAATGAATTAAACTCCAATGATGATTTTCACCTCTTAAGTTTATCCAAATGTATAGAAAACATCTTCAAAAATTTGTAAATGCTTAATACATATCGATTGAATGCTAATTATTTATTGTAAATATATTTTTGTTATTGTAAATAGTATTCATTCATGTAATGTAAAAATTTATAATATTGTAACGTTGGTCGTAGACCTATATTACTGAAAATAAACTTATTATTATTATTATTATATTTGCAGCAATTGTTTTACAAGCTCAGATCAATTTCATTTGTCCATCACCTATTGAAATGAAACACCCAATGCTGAACCAGTGGACCACAAAATGGGATGGAAGACGATATCATTCAAAGGGAAGTAACAGTCAAACTTTTCCCAAGGTAACCTACCTAACCCTAGCATACCAAGATTCATAAGAAAGTGTACATCAAGTTTACGGAAGACAGAATGACAGACCGACGGAAATGAGTAATTGAAATACACAACCACATTTTCCTAAGTTCTTAACATAAATTCCAATCCAATCAAATTTGAATACACTATTGCTCTAAAAAAATATTCAGATTGCAACATTTTTTGACATCGGCTCTTAACCATATTTTACTATTTTTAAAATTACTTTCCTGTGACACATTTGTTTTTGTTCAAACTAAGTAAATGCTCAATCTGTATGGTTGATTTTAATGAAGTAAGCAGGAGAGGTGTTTAGTAGGTCAGTATTTAATGTTTCTGTCTATGACGGACTCATAGTCTAATGATTATTTTCGGTGTTTTCCTTTTCCATAATAAGGGTACCCATTTGCACAAGGAATTACGAACTCTGTCTAATACTTTGGCTTCATAGGACACTTTTCTTATATCACGGAAGTGTAAATTCTGTGGTTCGATTGGATAGTAGCCTAAAAAAAATACATCCAATCAGAGCCCTTGACAAGTAGTCACGCGCACTGCTATATATATTTCTGTCGAAGGTCCGATCAGCTTTTATTCGCTAGTATACAATCGAATCCAATAGCTGTATAAAGTTCTGTGATTCGAGAAAAAATGTCTTATGTTGCCAATTTATAAGACGGAGTTTGTAATACCTTGATAGTGTGCTCTTCAGGTACTATGATATTGAATCTTTTTTAAACTATAGTTACCTTGGCATCATTAGACTCTTTTCTTATATCACGAAAGTTTGTATATGCAGCGCTTTGGTTGGGTTGTACGTTAGCGAATACAGCCAATCAGAGTCATCGACAACAATAAGCCATAATATTTACAGTCTGTTTGTCGAAGGCTCTGATTGGTTGTATTCACTACATTAAACGATACAAGAAAATTGTTTATTGTAGTCAAGGTATAATACGAAGTTCGTAATAGCTTGGTATTGTAAAGATGCCTCTCTGAATACCCTGTCAATCTTGTCGTTGTCGGACCTCGCCCTTTTATATAATGTAGACTATTTGATTAATTACGAGTATTAACGCCATTATGATTTATAATGCATGCTTTTTAAGTCACCTACCCAAACGATCCCATGTCCAGATTAGATTCGGGTTCCCCGCTGTTTGATTAATAAGCTGACAAATAAGACTATAATTGGATCTTTTGGCTTCTAAGTCATCGAATGTGTCATACCGTTTATTAAGACATTTCAAGGTCTCTAAGATAATATGAGGTGTACTTTAAGAGAATAATTATATAATGATATAAAATGATAAATGGGAGTCTGTGTAACTCGGCGAGACGCTTGCTCGCTAACCCGAGGTCCAGTCCATTGATTGCGATTCTACCTGTCAGAGAAAAAGTTCAGATTGGCAGTTATGGAAAAGCTTCTGGTCGTTCGAATGGGATAGTTCACCGATAGGTAGTATCTGATCGAGTCTTCAGATTCAGTTGAGGCAAATTTTGCAAAACAGTAAGATTGGCAATTTAGCATCTTTCAATCTTTCATTTCCATTTACCCATAGACTTTCACAGAACCATCCGAACTGCAAAGCACCTTTTCCATGTCAAACCAGATAATGGAAACCTGAAATGGCTAAGAAATTCTTGAAATCGAACGTTTTGGTTCTATGCTACTTCATTTGGAGAGGTTTAAAATAGATGTAAGATGGGTAGCGTTATGCTGGAGGGTTCTGACTAACATTGGCCAGTAATGAGTCTTTTAGTCTGTACAAATTTGATAAACATTTCCACTAGAATGCCTCGATCTTTAAAGGGGATCCAAAAGTACTTATGTCCAAATGAAGAAACGCCCATTTTCATGAATTGTCAATAACTTCAAGGGGGTTAGTTAGTTCACAAAGATGTGTTTTGGGGACAAAACTCAATTAAATTGTTGTCAAATGGCGTTAATCCCTCATATAAATCATAGCTTGAACGGTTCACTACTTGAATTTACTGTCTGACTGAATATAAAAGTTTATTAAAAATCAAATTTCATAGTACATGTATTTAAAACTACATGTCGTCTGACTAATTTAAACATTATCAATTATGAAGTATGAAGGTTGTATATCGGGACTGGTTTGGTTGATATTGTATCACGGTTTCAGCGTTTACGGTAGGTCTTTTACATGCTTTGGTTTAGATTTTCGTTTGAAGTTTTCTCATTTGGTGAGGTTTTGGTTATATTATTCATTTATAAACTGTATTTCCTATGTAATGAGCAACATTTTAGCTTATAAATATGGAAATAAAGGTCTTGGACTTTCAGATTTTTGTAAGCAAGGAAACAGTCCTAATACTACACAGCCCCTGAAATTTGGTTTTCTAAATCTCTAATTTTTCCAATAAAATCCTTGATTTTTTCAAGTTAGATACGAGTATTTCCGAACAAATCGTGACTGTAAGGTTCAGAATGTGCCGACTGATTAGAACAATTATCACCAATCAGTGTCAATCATATTGATTTTACTCAGTAGATGAATAATAACAGTTTATTGGATATTTGATATTTGAATTAATGATAGCTCAGTGTTCCTGCATTGCTTTTGATTTTGAGAACTACTTAGCACATATTGGACATCCGTGACATTACACTACATGTATATACTATTGGTTCTTCAATTGAAAAAGTGAACGATAAAGCTAAGGGTGACGACTGTTGACAATGTAAGAGATATTACAATTTAGAGATATTTTGACATTCCATGACAGTACATCATCCAGCATTGATTCTTGAGGAATTCAGGAACCAAGAAACCACGGTTACCATAAAATATTTCGTCTGTTAAGTGTTAAAGTAACAGGAAACTCCTAAGTTTCAGAATATATTAGGCAAGCCAAGGTTTTGCTCCAATTGCGACAAATTTAATAAATGAGTTCATTTACTTTTAATGAGGAATATATAACATAGTATGCACAGTTAGAAAGCTTGTTATAGTTACTTCCCTTGGCCTACAAACTTACCATAATACCGCCGGCCAAAAAAAGCATCTGTAAACTTAAAGAGGAATAACCGTGATGCCGGTATATCAAATAATGCATACACTGCAATATCTTTGCAGGAAATGTTACAAAATTACCTTATAACCTGAAGATAGCAGCCGATTGTCTTGGAGTTTCAGCAACACTAAATCAACATCACCTAACACTGAACTGTAGTTCTAATGAGCAAATTGCTGTGGACTACATACAATATGGTTTTAAACAAAATACATCAACTCAGTGTTACGGAGATTTGGAATCTAAAGGGTAAGAGGTTCCTAGTAAAAGTAGAAGTATCTGTCATCACAGGATTTATTTTGACTAAATCTTACCGAAGGTTTCAAACATTCTGCGTCAATTACTTTTTTCCGTTCTACTATTGATAAGTCTTTGACATTGACTACAAATACGAAAATACGAAATGTCTTTGAAATTTGCGATACAAATGTGTAGTAATTGATGAAGTGTTCCAATTTCAGCTTTGGTGAATGTTGTTCAACAAACAGCACAGATTGTTTTGTATTTAAAAATGACATTGCTGGACATTGTACAGGACAAGAAAACTGTGTTATTCGAACAAAACAACTGGAGTCAACAAGCTATCCCCACTGTGACAGTCATCTAAATGTTTCCTCATCCATTAAACTAGCATACTATTGCGTTTTTTCTGGTAAGTTACATTGATGTACGGCTACATTTTGAAATAAATCCGTATGGTAATTAAGCTACATCACAGTTGAGAGGAGATAATTGTGATCATACGGTCTCGATGGTTCAATGAGTTAGTCGTTTATTCGTCAACCTGGACTTCATAACAAACGTTGAGGTAGCAACCAGGAGTTGGTGAACTGGAGGGCCAGATGTTATACGTTTCTTTGACATCTGGGAATCGATAAAATATTATCCATGTTAAATAATAAGAATTACTGAAAGGCAATTTTTCTGTTTTCAGATGTTGATAGTATCAACCTTGCAGATTCTGCAGATCAGAAAACGTCAAAAAATCTCCACTTACAGAGTTTCATGTACCCTGAACCAATTGTTAACATATCTACTTCTTGTAGCATCGAAACTGCATGTGGCGTTTCTTTAACTGCTACGCTCATAGATTCAACTATCAAGTGTCAAAACTGCAGTGCTAGGATGAACCACAATACAGATTTCCTGTGCAATGGTACCACAGATCAATCGCTGATACGGATCCTGCAATATTCTGACCAACATTTTTTGTACTTTGACCTACAGGAAAATGGTCGACTCTGGGTAATGTTTTCTGGTAAGATTCTCCTGAAATATATTGTGTCAGAAACTTGGTCGACATGACTTTTCCCACCAGGTATCCATTATTAAAACCTAAAAATTTTCGACTGAAATTCCGCCTTCAGATATGCACTATACATATATTTACTTTATTTCAGCTTCCGATTCGATATCTAATGTTACAGCCACTTGTGGATCTGATGCGCAGTACAATGCCACATCTACTTGTCCGAACACCACATCACAGGAATCATCTACAGCATCAACAGGATCTTCTACATCCACAATTGAATCATCTCCATCCACACCAGAATCATCCCAACAATTAACTGATTCATCCTCATCCACAACTGAATCATCTCCATTCCCACAAGAATCACCTTTAACATCAACAGGGTCATCAACTAATGAACCAATCTCATCAACACATTACACACAGGAAGTTATGTGTGATCAAGGGATGGACTCAAACTGTACAACAATGATCTCAACAAACAGTACACAGAACTACATTACAGAGAACATTCCCTCATCAAACTCCGTAGGTAAATGCGATTTACTATTGCTTCAATACGAGATCACTACATTTTAGGCCGAAACTTTGTAACATTACTCTTCCTTGGATCTGTTGAAACTTAGAAACATTGACACAACCAGATATTACTATAGTATCTGTAGAAACAACTTTTTGATAAAAAAAAGAAGAATACCCGAAAACGATACCCGAAATCGAAAATAACTGTTTGACAATACATTGATACCACCAAAATTTGATGAACTATTCACACGGGGACGTATATCATAATGAAAAGTGGTATTAAGTGTCTGGAAGAGTAAGCAGATCCTGCCTTGCACCACACCCATGATTGCGGCTCAATATATTCATTATAATTTAAGATACAAGTATGATAATTGGTGTTGTTTCTGGTGCAATAATCTTAACTTCTGTCATAGTTGTTGTTGCCATTGTCTTAAAAAAGAAAGGAAAACAGAAGGTAGGTAAACTGTCTTCCAATGACGAAGTGTTAATTTACACGACTGTTTAATCGGACAATGACATCAATCGGAATGGAGTTTTACGTCCCAATTCCCTTAATGGGTTTGACACAAAAACGATACCAATTTTCTTATCTGTAAAATGATATACATTTATCATCTTATGTAGTAACTTTTCCATAATGTTCGGATTGTTTTTCAGAAGGGACGCTTCCGCAATGAAATAACCAGATGAATTTAATGCACGAGATCAGGTTAAAATAACTTGTCGTCTCCAGTGTTTTCCTCATTTCGTTTTACTTCACATCTGCATATTTATGTGTTAGAATTCGACTTTGAAAATTGAAACTGAAAACTGAAATAAGATGAATAATGATTCATTTCAGAAATTGGGATACTGCTTTTAACATAATCATTAAAATACCAATATCACCTTCATAATATTATCTTCTAGGTTTCAGAAAAACAGAGCCAAGAAAACACCAAAATACGTGCATGGGTTTGACGAAGAACGAAACAAAACAGCTGGAGCCAATCTAGGAAAGAGTCAAGCTGTTCCTAGTCTTGTGGTCATTCATTTAGTTTCGATGATAGGCAGGCTACAGTTTTCATTACACTTTAGTTACATTGGTATTCATTACATCTAGACGCTATATTGCTGTTTACTGTATCTGTAATAAATCATTTTATAAAATAATAATGGAACTATCTTTAAAGATATATGGTCTGTCTATTAACATAAAGGAGGCTACATTTTTCGTTGCATTTAAGTTCCATTGATATTCTGGGTCTCTCAAGTAAATACCTTAAGCTCCACTTCCATGATGGAGAATGGAAAAAACAGAGAAAAACTAGGGTCACCAACCATTTCCATTACTGCTACTACACCATACACCGTTGCCCCTCCGAACAATCATGTCCGGTTACGGATAGCTAGCAGTTAGCGGCACCTCGTAGAAATTGCAATTATTTGGCAAATCACTAAATTTTGAAAATTTATGATTAACGTTATTTATTCGTAAAAAAATCGCTATTTTTTCGCTTTATGCCAAAGTTGATTTGAAAGGGGGCTAGAGTACTGTAGATTTTTATCAAAAGGGGCATTTAGAAACTATATCGAGCATATTTATACAATTGTATGGTATTATTATACTAATTTTTGCACCTAATTGTGTATAAACCTAAGATTTTTTTAGCCATCTATCTGGTGTATACAGGCTATCGAGCAATGTTATTGTTTATTTTCCCGTGTGTACTCTAGTAAACTAACTAAAGTGAATAAATCAACATTTACTCTCTAAATAATCACCTCATATCAACAACATAACATTGCATCACACGTGTTCTTCAATTTGACTCGAAACTGAGCTTTTAATCATAGTTCGTCGATAAAAATATCCTCAGTAAGTGACATCTCTTTTGGATTGGTCCTCTCATGGCGTTCAGTAGTTCAGATTTGACAACTTACCGAGATGTCATACCATTATTATTATGGAACTTTTGAAATATTAAAGAGTATCCCCTACCCATACACATTCAAAGAATATGTTTCAGTACAAATATCGGGAAGGATATTTGGATTTCTTCAAAACATATCCCCCACCCTAATATACACAAAAAAGAGAGAAAAGAAAAACCGGAACAAGAATGGAAATATAACTATATGAACATGCGTTTCAGGAGCGTCATAAGTCACTTTGAACAGAATTTCAATGAAATTCCAGTTCCAAAAGAATCGAAACCAAAGCAGCTCACATCTTTCACCCTTGATGTCACTGGGAGCCAAAAAGACGAGCATTATATTCGAATTTCCCAAGATAGTCGCGCTCCCGTTGAATTCGACTCTTTGGTGAATTGTTATTTAAGAACATTCCCAAGGTAATTGGAAATTTTTAAGGATAGTGTTTTTTGTTTCTGAAACGGAAATTGTCAAGTGTTTTATAAATAACCTCGTGGCCAATGAATGGGATTAATTTGTGGGGCCTTGGGGATCACTAAAGGGTATTGAATTCCTAAAAGGGCATTGCACTCGTCACCTAATCCAAAAACAAACCCATTATAATGCTGATTCACTGAAAGCGACTTGATGAAAAGATTGTATAGATGAAAGGATGAATAGAAGTTTGTAGAGAATGAATGAAAGAGTAAACAAACTGAACATAATGTGGACAAGTGACCATGAGTGAAGCAGCTGAAGGACCTAATCTAGTAAAACTAACAAATGGTACACACTTGGTTCACTTGTGACTTTTCATCTATATATTGAGAGATTGTGAATAAGATGTCAGTCAAACAGCAGCTACTACAGGTTTACCAGATTCATCAGAGATCTTCGGAACAGAGTTACCACGCAGTCTTAGACGAGACTGCTCTACTGATAATCCTGTTGGTTTCTTCCATACAGTTTGTTGTTGAAACCCCGTACTTGCTATGCGAGCTGATTCGATTCAAGTGAGAGGTTTGAAAGCGTTAGTGCTTATACTATTGGTCTTATACGGTGAGTATTCTATTACATCTTTCTTATTTTTGACGTGGCGCGATTTGTTACAGTACGACACGACACAACTTCCTTCGACGTTATAATAATATTGTTTCTATTTTGTCGTACGGCACCGTGTTGTGTCGGATTTGATGTCGCGACGGGTTGCGGACTTAAAATTATCATCAAGACAATTTGTTATAATGACTTCCAATATTTGAGCTCAACGCATGAGCAAACGAACATTTGTAATGATGGTCATCCTAAACAATCCATTTTACTGGAATTTCGGATACCTTAGGAGTAGTGCAATTTTGTGATATCCATACGTCATATCTATCTAAAATTGACTTGCAGTGAACTGTTATGCTGATAGCCAAGCCAAATTAAAATAACTCGATTTCACAAAATCCACAGTGGTTCAAGGTGAATTTTTGACAAAATGTTTAAATTCGTCAATGTACAGATCCGTGTGGACTATTGACCTGTCCTTCAAAATTGACTGACCTGTGATGTTTGATTCAATTTCGATACATGATATAAATTTTGAGTGATTTAATGACATCACTACAACCACGCATTCCATTGTAACCTACTAAACCCCTAAGTGTTCACGCATGAAAGGGTTGAAATTAATAATATTATCGTATGCATAATTTAAGTAAAGTCACTTGGTGTATCACTTATGTTGAATACACATGTACCCTAGTGATTCACTAATTAAACCACGTACCGTACTAACACTGTCAAGAACAGAAATATAAAAGTTTAAGTTAAAGGGATAAGTTCGCCAATTTATTGAGACACTGTCATATTTAGAAAAGATATCTATAGAAATAGAAAAATAAATTCATAGTTTGAACTATTTTTTAAGGCATTTTCGTACATTTCTTGTACTTCTGAAAACTATTTACTTATATTCAAGACTCAAATCAACCCCCAAAATGGCGCACCTATCCTAGTAATGATTAATTATGTTATTACTATTACAGAAGGCCACACTAAGGAGACATGCAGAACTGGAGTGAAAACTGACAAGAATCTTAGAGGAGTCAATTTGGACAAGACATCCGGTCTGCCGTTTTACTGGTTTGATTTACATCGAGCGAGTGACGGGTATCATTCAGAATACACCTATACATGTGAGTTTTAAACCAAATTTGCTTTGAAGTATATTTTCATGACATTCTGATCGTAGAGACACACTGTTAAAATGACACTCTCGTCTTGTCAGATCTCCCCTCCCGCAATATCACGTTCGTTCAGGTTCCTCCAAAAACTGACATGGGGCCATTTTCATACCAAGGTTTTGGACAGTTACAATAATAGACAGTGAGAAATTCTAACAAGAACTGAACAATCTTGAATACATAGAAAGAATGGTAAAATCCTACAGCACGATAAGTTCGATACTACTGTTTCCACTTTGAGCGTTATAAAAGCACAATCTGGCACAATGGTGCAGTCAAATTCCCGTGGATGAACAAGCCCGTCTTCATTGGCCCAAAATGGAACTAAAAAAAGTGAGACGTAAAAATCCATATTGGTTTCAGTCATCTGTAACCCTAACCCCCCCCCCCCCCCCCCTTCAACCCTAACCCCTTCAAGAAAATCACCTTACCAACACCCATAGAAACTTGTTGTTATCTGAAAGCCAATTAGCATTTGATATCGTAACTTTAAGTGTACAAACCTTGACAATGATCTTTGACCGAAGTCCCTCTTATCTTAACACAAGATACATTTAGCATTGAAAAAAAAATTCAGGCCAAGGCGGATGCTTTGATAAGTTTACAGGGGGCAAACATTGAGATAACATGCCCTTGATGTTAGTATGATAACAATATTATCAATCTAAATATAGGTACATGATTGTGTACTATTATGTACTTATATTACTAATATGTACTGATATGTAAACTCATTGTACTGTTATCTTATGATGAATTTTTATTAAAAGAAAGCTGATAGCATAAAACACATTTTTCCTGATAAAACAAAAACAAGTAGGCCCTACTAACGACCCTAACCGCAATCCAAAATAACAGTTTTGGCAGCAAATGAAATATATTTATACTAAAATAAGACCCATATCAAATTTTCATTTCACATTTTCAAATTTCTAGCGCTCTGTCTTTGATTTCAGATTTATTAACGTATATTTTAATCAGAATATATCATAAGATATTGATTGAATAAATTAAGATATTGATTGAATAAATTAAGATATTGATTGAATAAATTAAGATATTGATTGAATAAATTAAGATTTTGATTGAATAAATTAAGATATTGATTGAATAAATTAAGATATTGATTGAATAAATTAAGATATTGATTGAATAAATTAAGATTTTGATTTAATAAATTAAGATAAGACCTCCATAATACGTTTTAATATCCATCACAAGTAATAGAGAACTTATTCTTCTTTAAGACAAAAGTTTTCATCAGCTGATTGATTTTTCATTTCTAGAATATTAAGCTTAAGGAATAAAGTTCAACGAGATTTCGTCTTAATTTTCCGTCTGACAAAAGAAGGCTGAAAAGTTACGCCTTTAATTACCTTTGGGATAAAATTAATTTTCGAAATGAAAAAAAAATTAAAGGTCGAGTGCAAACTGGCTTGATAAAAGGGGAAATTGTGACTAAATCTTTCTCCCTGTGTTCAAAAATGCGTCAATTTTGGTTATTGTAGTAAGTAGAGGGAGAAATTCTTGTTTTTTGACAAATTTATTGATTATAAATGTTTCGAAACAGTCAATTTTCAAAAGACTTTAATTTCCAATTCTTATTTACAACTATGATAATGCCAACTGACTGCATAGTTCATCTCAGCCAGGTCACAGCCAGGTCACGTTAAGTTTCATTTTCAGCTTTTTCGGTACTAAACTGTTATAAATACATGTATTTCGTTACAAACCACTTTAATTCAGAATATATAAATGATTTTTCAGTCCGGCTGCATAGTTCATCTGAAGCCAGTCCCTTCAGCGACGCCGTATTACAGGTGGAGACGGCGAACAACTGTGGTACCGGTGACCTTGTAGTCAATACCACCTTTTTATATCAGCCTAGAAACTGTCCAAAGATGATAATGACAGAATATAAGAAACCCATGACCAATGTTCCCTTCAAGTGGAGAGCTCCAAAATGTGGCTGCATCAAATTCAGAGCAACGGTCATTAGAAATGGTGTAACATATTTTTACGATGATGAAAATATCAGCGATGGCAACCTTGTCAAAACAGTTTGTCCACATGGTGAGTTCCCTGGTCTTTTTTGTGTAACCAAAAAAGTTCAATGGTACCATGTAAGCGTATTTTACCGCAGTACTGACATAGTTGTCGAACAATGCAAAAGGTTTTCAGAAAATATCTCGCGGGAGAATCAAGGAAAATCTCAAATAGTTAGAAAAATTTAAAAAAAAAGGTCATCGCAGAAGATCCATGTCAAATTTTAATCTGTTCTTTTAGGTGTGAGAGTAGCTGAACAACTCGTGGAGGTGGATGAAAAAACAACCGATTCTACCACTAAAACTTTAAGTACTGTTACCTCCAAGGTATGATCTTCTGCTAATCTTCTGAATCTCCGGCTGTTATCTCACTTGAGTCTATGTCCAAATGCTTGATTGAAATAGAGCTTCACAATAATACAATAAGACCTACGTCGCTTGTCTCTACCGGGAGTTATGCTTAACTTATACCACGCCTATTTGTTCTTTGCAACTGCGACAGTTATCATTTTCTCTCTTGGTCAGCAGAACCTTTTGATGAAGCAATATAAGACATGGGGTTGAATTTCAGATGGACAGGGCAGCACTGTTAGATCTTCTATGCAAAATAACCAGCACACTAAATAATTTGGAACTCTTGAAACGACCAGAATTTATTCAAAGACGAAAACTCCAGAATTCATCTTTAGTGAAGCTGTTGAATATTGAATTAGCTTTGGAACAAAGAAAAGCTGATATCTCATCTTGTTGTCATAAGGTAAGAATCAATGTTAGGAGACATGATGATGTGAGAAAAGTTAAATCCGTCAAAATCTGCATCTGCTGAGATTTGAGATATTTCCTGATTTTTGATATTATTTTCATAATGGCCATACAAAAATAACAAATGATAAATAATACTTCCCACAATATTAAAGAGTGGGCCCATACCTTTCTTCGATATGACCACAAACCACATGCCATTTTAGAGGCCATCTTGAAAAGAAATATAGGCAGCCATATTGGGAGCCATCTTGAAAAACATGCAGTCAAAAGCCATTATATAATTATATTCTAGAAGGGTGAAGATAAGACAATATGTTTTGATAATGTAAGAAGATATCGTATTGATCAACTTTGTGGTGACGGACAACCAAGAATACCATTTGTTGAACAGAAAAGAAATTATATGAGAAAAAGGGAATCGGAATGTTGTTGGCGAATAGGTATGTCTTTTCAAATTATTATGTAATAATGGTTTTCAATGGTGGTGGTAGATGACTTGTTAATGTTCACACTTCTCCATGTGCTACTGGAACACAATTACAATTAGACCAACACAATATCTAAAGGGAAATAACTAATTTATACTTGGTTATTTCCAAAGGCGGTCAATGAATTGATCTTTTCGAATTTCGGATTTACAGGTCTTGACGTTTGGATCCAAATGATCATATTTTGTAATATAGACAGAAAGTTAATTCACCAAGTCTGATTGTGACAATGTGATGGCAAAAAAGTGAACGAATGCATGTACAAAATAATAGTATTAGCTATGTGAACCCTTCGAAAGTGATGCTGAGAAACTCAGTTGCAGAATGGCAGCAGGTATTCTGAAAGAATTGAGTGCAGTTCAATAATTCAGTATAGTCTTTGAACTGGTTTAGATCAAGATTGTTATTCTATAAACTTAATACTCTCCAATGTTTTTCAGGACAACCAAGATATCAATGCTTCAGCAAATCTAGCGAACAGCTTACAGAATACTCCGTTGATTATTCTCTAGATGAGTCCGACCCAGCTAATGATATAGCTGATTATCCCAAAGAAGTAGAACGTTACGAAATGGTAAGCTCTTCATGTCCGGCTTGAAAATTGGTATAGGGTAATCTAATTGTTCTAATTTGCGCAAAAGCACTTTCAAACACCTTAGATCGCCTAGTTGAAGATTGTAAATGCGCATACTCGTATATAACGTATTCATATTTTTTTATCTCACATATATTTGTATTTTTTTTAAGGCTTCAAATACCAAATTCTTCAGCCCTCCGCCAACACTAAAACCGGACAATCAGAATATAGAAACGCTTACCAAGCTGGAAGAGACTACAACACCAACTTCAGTAACCAAATCAGTAACATTACCACCAATCAGACAGCCTTCAGCTAGACCACACAGACAAACTACACCCACCTCCGTTCTGACACACCATCGTCAACGGCCAGTACCAGCTGTAAAAACCAAACTGCGACAAAGCCGTACGGTTGGACAAGGTGATATGGGATACAACCTTAGAAAGCAAGCAAAATACACAAGAAAAACAACAAACCTCCGACATTCAGCTTCATCTGTTGAAATAACAGTCAACAGTAAGTTTTATATTTACTTTGAACATTAAATATGGTTTTACTTCGTTGATCGAGCAATATAAATTCTGATATCGGATTTGAATTTGTTCTCGTAGACCAAAAACCTGCAGAGCACTGCCGTATTGATATCAATTAAAATGTCTTGTTTCAGCATTAAAACAGAAATTATGGAAATCTAGTCTGAAATTGGAATGTTGTCAACAAGGTCGGATATTTGCCGCCAAAACTGGTCGTACAGACGTTTGGGACCGTTGTCGTTCGGCAGCTAAAGATTTCAGAAGTTCTGTGGTTCGAGGGAAAAAGATCTGCAGTAATACATTCCAGAAATGCTGCGTTGAACAGTTTATAACGTAAGTTAGATATATTATAGAAAATACCAAGATTAATACTGGAAAGCGTCATTGACAACAGTGATCACTTGAAAGTTTTGTATTATGGATAGTGATTAAAGTTTAAACAATTTTGAAAACAGCTTTGCGTCGAAGCTAAAAACATATTTTGAAACAATCCACTATGAACCACTACCAGTTGCAAATGATATTGAACCCTCTACGGGCGCCCACCATATGGGTATTTTTTCTTCTGCTTTCAGAGAGGAAATGAAGCAACTAAAAACAATTATAAAATTTTCACACAGACTAAAAATACCCCAAGTAATTCTTAGACTGTCCTTAAGACCTCAAAGTATCACGTCTATAAAGAAAAGCATCAATAGGACAACAACAATTCTTCATGCTCTTGAGTTCTCCGCTCACAAAAATCAATTACACAACGTAATTCAATCTTCTCAAAGAAAAATTAACAGGATAAAAGTATTGGGAATGAAACTTTTAAGACCTCAAAAATATAAGAAGATATTGCCAAAAAGATCCTGGAACGATGTTAATAGAAGCCAAAATGAAATTGAAAATGCGTGAATTTCTTACAATAACCTGAATTTAAAAAAAAGTATTTTGATATATTCTATAATTTTGTTTACGAAATTGACTTTTATTATTAGTATTTAGCATGAAATTGACTTTCAAATTAGTTGGAATTACTTGATTACTTCGATAAACAATAAGATTAACAATCAGTATAGATTAATTAATGTTGAACTGGCAAATTTTGAATGAATAAACTTAATGCGTTACTTTGAGCATGGACTGAAAATTTATACGTAGGACTCGGTATCTAAGAATATCTGGATATGAGCATACCCATGGAAAACATATCAAAGACCATCTTCTCAATGTCAGGCTATGTGTCTTATACCTTGACTTCGTTGTATCACGGAATGCAGCAATTTTATTGGATACAACGCTCAAGGTTTACAAACATTCTGTCTAGGGATATGAGTGGTTGAATCCGCTGCATTTACAAACTTGTGTGATACAAAGAACGAGGATAATAAAGTCAAGGTATAAGACGCAGTTCGTAATAGTGAAGATGTAGAGAAAGACTAAATTCGGTATGAAGTTTTTATAATGTATATATTGGCGGAACATCTAACCTTTGTAACTTAATAGACATATTTTATAACGCTATATTATAAACACTTTCCATGAGTTATTGGTTGGTAGCTTTTTTAATTATTTATATACGTCTTACTAAAAAAAGAACCGTAAAAACTTATAATCAAAGGGAAATAACTCAGTGTTTTCTGTGTCCTTGCTTACTCCTAATGATATAATTTATAATACTCTATCGAAAAAGGCTTATCTAATATCAAAATGGATCTCATCATATAAAAGTTCGTACTTGAAATCCAATGCAGTTCCTCATTATATATCGATATTGATAATAATTTACTAATTTACTAAAATGGCTGCTTTGAACATCTTATGGTTGGTGCTTTAGCTTTGTCACTGGTCACTGTGGTTTTTTAATAAAGAAATTATTTTCAAACTTTCACTTTGATAGTCATAAATAGTTATTCGCGTTCATATATTTTTTTTTACATATAATTTGGAATTTGTAGTCAAAGGCAACGTTAGAATATCCTTGCTATTTAGATATTGATACAAACGAAGAAATGCTGTTAAAAGATTAAAACCATAGTTTCCAGTTTCAGGTGGCCTTCATAAAAATATAACACTGTACTATACTTTAACCTTTTATGTTCAGTCATAGTAATAGTAAGGTGGCTGAAGGAAGGCCTGGGGCACAATGGCCGAATTTAAAATAAGTTTTTTGTTTACAGTGATAGATTACACGAAGTTTTGATGTATTTATGATATATTTTTATTACTCAAGGCCACTCATTTGTATAAAGTTAAACTAAAATATAAATATTTCCAAAGCGACTCAAATGATATATTCATTTATGTGAAATTTGAAGGTTTATGACGTCGCTTGAAAGTTCCCTCACTGGAATGCTGTTTTAGCATGGTCTGATTATGTACTTTCAGGGCTACAGCAAAAGCTTCAACCATACCAAAACCTAATACACCAAAAGGATCTCCTTCAACCAAGCAATTAGTCACTACAACTTCATTAAGAACTAATATCAAGAAGGAAAATTATAGAAGAGCGCCTCTTGACGTCGACAGCAGTCGGGAGGCAGATGAGAAGTATGCTTCAATGGAATCAAAAGCTGAGGATGATTTGATGGAACAAGATGATAAGGCGAGTGCCGAGGACGCTGGCGAACATGTGGATGATGATGGTGATGATGTTAGTGATGACAGTGATAATGATGATCAGGGTGAGGACGGTGATCAGGATGAGGACGATGATCAGGATGATGATGATAAGGATGGTGATGTTGATGATGACAAGGTGGATGAAATAAATAATGATGAAAAGAATCGAAAACGGAAATTCATTGATTATCCACGAGAAGATCCATCTGCGGACACATTCCATAACCTTCAAACAAAACGAAAATCGACCCCAAATACTGACATAGCTCACAGGGACTCGAACCATAGAAATCTGAAAATAGAATCTGCGAAACGAAAAAGGAATCGAAGACGACACAATAGGAAATTAAGACGGAGAAAACACAAAAGTGATTAACTTTCTAAATGATGGCGTTATAGATTTAAAATTGTAGATGTTGTTGACGCTGAATGAAATTAACTTATTGGGGTATTTTAAAGAGGTTTCTCAAGGTTATAGGCGAGCTTCTATGAGATGACCAGAGCATCTGGCATTCAAATTAAAATATAATAATGAAAGGATGCATCCAATAAGCTTTCAGATTTTGAATACTTTTATGGTTATTTGTATTGATCAATTACGACTACGATGATCAATTCATGCTGAATTCTATTAAATGATTCTTGAAATTAATATGTGGTTATTATTTGGCCATCGAAAAAGGTTGCTTCATTCAAGTGAACTAATTCGTCTACAAGTGGTATTTGTTACATTAGAAAGCAGCTTACATAAGACATGACATTCTGTTTTCTCGTTAATGCGTGATCAACATGATTCCAAATTTACTTGGCATGCTTAAAATGGCAATGACATCTCCTTCCTGAATTGGCCTTCAATCCATGCTCGTTACCATGCACCAGTGGCGTTTCTATGGGCTGGTCCGGTGTTAAACCTACCAGTACTGGACACACAATATTGCTCCCCCCTACTTGTTTTACCCACGCATAATGTGCTGATGTATGGTTTATACAGGGACGCCTTAAAAAAGTGCGGGAATGGTAAATAAGTGATTTGCTTTAGAATGCACAGAATCATTTCCTTTCGAGGTCTTTCAAAAAAGGTTTTCTAACTTCGAGAGTGTAAAGAAACTTCCGTTTAAGCTAATTTGATTTCTTGTTTATCGTTTGTGGTTCCGGTATTTCTAGAAAAACAACATTATGACGTTCGTACTTCAAAAACGGTTTGGTGCAAATGTCATTTCACTTGCGGTATAGTGTCGTCATAATCTTGTTTCTCTGGAATTGTGGTAAACAGGACGAGAAATCGAAATTCTCAAATAGTGCAAACAGAAGTTGTAACACGGGTGAAGAAAATCTTCACAATTTCGAGCTATTACAAACTTCGTCTTATACCTTGGCTGCAAAAGCCACCTTACTTGTATCACAGCAGTTTGTAAATGCAGCGATTTAATTGGATTGTACGCTAGCGAATACAGCCTATCAGAAGCATCGACAGAAAGTTTTAAACAATGAGTCATAATGTTTGTCGATTGTCAACTAGTGTACAATCAAATCAAATCGCTGCATTCCGTGATACGAGAAAGTTAGCTAATGTAGTCAAGGTATAAGAAGAAGTTCGCAATAGTTTATCATTATGAAGACCACACAACACACAATCTTCTATGAATCCCTTTGAGGCAAGGGGCGCCCACTGCTGATGACGGGAAGGTCTACGCAAATTGGTGGTACCACATTGGTCAATATTGATATTTTCGAGGCAGATAAGAAACGAAACCAACAATTAATGGCAACATTTATTAACGATTCAATGGCTTGATGGTATTGCCGAACATAATCTGGGGCGCCCCTGCCATTTAACATAATATATGCATATAGTTTTCAATGGATTTCACTCTACATTTGAACACACAGACATACAATATTATACCACTCCTATCCAAATATGAGACAAAAATAGAGTGCTTTCATACAGCATAAATATAGAATTTGTAATTGTAGAATAACGTTTGACGAACGTTTTTGCGGTCCCTGCATTTCCATACATTGCACTATCCGAGTTCAGATTGGTTTGAAAACAACCTAGTTAGTATAAAAATATAAATTATTGAATATAATCTAAAATAGGTCTTAAATTTATTAAATATCTGCATTATTTATGTCGTCATTGGCATCATTGCTGTTATTATCATCTACGTCTAAATTAGCATCTACATCTACTAAATCTTCCACAGCATCCTTAACAGCATTGTTAATATCGTCAACTTTGTCTGCAATATCATCAGCGACATCTTCAGCATTATCGATAGAGTTTGAATCCAAAGCTTCTACCAAAGCTTTTACCAAAGCTTCTTCCACTTCTTTAGCAACTTGAGAGCTGTCTGTGGTATCATCTTGTAAACCATCAACTAAATCATTAACATCATCTTGTTGACTTGCATTGACGGAATCGACATTGTCATCATTTTGACTGTTGACACCATCATCATCTTGACTGTTGATACCATCATCATCTTGACTGTTGACACCATCAACATCTTGACTGTTGACACCATCATCATTTTGACTGTTGACACCATCATCATCTTCACTATTGACACCATCAACATCTTGACTGTTGATACCATCATCATCCTGACTATTGACACTGTCATTATCTTGACTGTTTACATCATCATCATCTTGACTGTTTACACCATCATCATCTTGACTGGTATTATCACCATCTTGACTGTTAACATCATCGTTTTGACTGTCGGCAATATCATCACCATCTTGACTATTGGTATCATCATTTTGACTGTCTTGGCTGTTAACATCGTCATCTTGACTATTTGTATCATCATTTTGACTATCTTGACTGTTAACATCGTTATCTTGACTGTTAACATCATCTTGACTGTTGGCATCGTCATCTTGACTGTTGGTATCGTCATCTTGACTGTTGCCATCATTATTTTGATTGTCATTATCGACACCCTGACTGTCATCACCGTTGCTATCTTCATTAGTGTCTTGGCTATCTTCATCAGTGCCATTGCTGTCTGCATTGGTGTCTTGGCTATCTTCATCAGTATCATTGCTGTTTTCATTGGTGTCTTGGCTATCTTCATCAGTATCATCGCTGTTTTCATTAGTGTCTTGACTATTTTCGTCAGTACCATTGCTGTCTTCATTGGTGTCTAGGCTATCTTCATTTGTGTCTTGGCTATTTTCGTCTGTAGCATTACTATCTCCATCAGTATCATTGCTGTCTTCATTAGTGTCTTGGCTATCTTCATCAGTATCATTACTGTCTCCATCAGTACCATTGCTATTTTCATCAGTATTATTACTGTCTTCATTGGTGTCATTGCTATCGGTGTTATTGCTATCTTCATCAGTATCATTACTGTCATTGCTGTCTACATCGGTATCATTACTGTCGGTGTCATTGCTGTCTTGATCAGTATCATTGCTGTCTTGATCAGTATCATTGCTGTCTCCATCGGTATTATTGCTGTCTCCATCGGTATTATTGCTGTCTCCATCGGTATTATTGCTGTCTTGATCAGTATCATTGCTGTCGATGGCATTGCTGTCTTGATCAGTATCATTGCTGTCATTGCTGTCTTGATCAGTATCATTGCTGTCGGAGTCTGTATCTTTGCTGTCGGAGTCTGTATCCTTGCTGTCGGAGTCCTTACTGTCAGAGTCTGTATCCTTGCTGTCGGAGTCCTTACTGTCAGAGTCTGTATCCTTGCTGTCGGAGTCCTTACTGTCAGAGTCGATATCCTTGCTGTCGGAGTCTGTACCCTTGTTGTCGGCGTCCTTGCTGTCGGAGTCTGTATCCTTGCTGTCGGAGCCGTTGCTGTCGGAATCTGTATCATTGCTGTCGGAGTCCTTGCTGTCGGAGTCTGTATCCTTGCTGTCGGAGTCTGTATCCTTGCTGTCGGAGTCCTTGCTGTCGGAGTCTGTATCCTTGCTGTCGGAGTCTGTATCCTTGCTGTCGGAGTCCTTGCTGTCGGAGTCTGTATCCTTGCTGTCGGAGCCGTTGCTGTCGGAGTCTGTATCATTGCTGTCGGAGTCCTTGCTGTCGGAGTCTGTATCCTTGCTGTCGGAGTCTGTATCCTTGCTGTCGGAGTCGTTACTATCTTCATCAGTGTCATTACTGCTCTCGTCCGTATCTCCACCATTGTTTACACCTCCAGCTGTAGCACCACCATTTAAATCAGCTTTAAGCTGCTTGTTAACTTCCTGGATAACATTATCCAGTAGGGTGTCAAACTCCTTCTTAAACTTGTCGTCGATCTGAAAAAATAGGTTACATCGTTTCATTTACTTAGGCGTGTGAAGTTTGTAAGCTTGAAGATGTGCAAGTCATCTAATTCTCAGTGGGAAACAAATTTTTTATCCTTAACTATTTTTGTTCAAAGAGCGAAAAGAATTACTGGTGGTACCTTTCGGCCTTTTTCGTGATGAGGTTAAAGTGGCCCCAACACCATTTCAATCACTAATATCATACTTTGCGAATACTGAGTTATAAGCTGCGTTCGGAACTCATGTCCGCTTTCATTATTCGCAATCATACGCAAATGCTGATCGCTATGGTGTGAGCGCGCGATTTTGCTACCAAAGTTCTTACTTCTAAACCTACATCCGCCATAATCAAAATTAGTACGAGACATATTTGCACAGATGGGAAATCGGGGACTTTTTTTTATTACAATGCGTGTTTACATGTAATGATGTTAATCATTAAACTTGTAAAGCTTTTTAATATCTCTAGACGATCGAGACGTCGAATATACTAAGTTTCTTTAATAAAATGTCGATCTTGACCTACCTCTTTAATTTCATCTTCGAGGTCGTCATCGTTGTCGAGATCCAGACGGTCTCCTCTTTGTGCACCACTACTTTGAGCTGCCAATGTATTCTGTAATTCAATAAAATCATATCATTAGATATAGTCACATTACACTAGGGTTATCCATCTTCATTATATAAAGCTATTACGAACTTCATCTTATACCTTGACTGCATTCACCGCAAATATTGCCTCACGGACGTCGAGGGCTCTGATTGGCTGAAGTCACTGGCATATATAATCCAATCAATTCGCTGAATCGTGGCTATTGCAGTCAAGGTATAAGATGAAGTTCGTAACATCTTGACATTGTCAATATGGGGTTATAAGGCTTGATATTTGGTATACTCTTTTTAGGTTAGTTTGAAACATTCAGCTGTTTCATTAAAATAATAATTCTGTATTGTTTAAGTTTCGTATCATATTTGATAGATTTTCTCTTTAATAGTTAACCATAAATCAAAAAATGTTCATAAAATTCGTTTTTCTTCCAAATTTTAACGTTTATAGATCGAATTTTCAAGTTTTAGCTTATTTAGAATTGGGTTTTGTCATTTTAAAAGACTAATTGACGTTTTATAAATTATTGCAAAACAACCGGACGTAAATTTGCATATACATGCAACTTAAAATATGTACAAAAACTAAGTGTATTTGTAACATTCATGATTCACTCGGATATACTCATAAATAAGATGAAGCTATCAAAATTTTCAGAAAACAAACTGCCTATTTTAAAAAATAAAATTGTGATCTATGGTTTATTTTCTTGTCAACAACGACCACCTTAAATTGGGATAGGCCCGTCTGAGAGTTAGTCATTTGTATTGTTTATGGTTACCTATGTATTTTTCAATATTTTGCCTAATTTTCCACTTCTCACGATCGTGTCCTACTAGCTGTCAAAGGGACTAATTACTTTATTTTTTTTTAAAAAAAACTATAAATAACTTAATTAACATAACTATAATTAATTTATAATAGTCAATCATTATAATGTCTTAATCAATTTATTCATATACTAGCCAATTTGTCAAATGATCACAAATGTACATTGGGTTTATTGTCGAATGTGTTGGTGGTTTGGAACCAGGCGAATTAGTTCAATAAAAAAAAGACTCATCCAAAAAAAACATAACAAAGCACATCACGCTCGGCTTAAAAGCACTTAAAGGGATATTCTGCTTGTTTTGAAGGTCAGAAAAATTTTGTGATCAAATTTGTGAAAACTATACGCCAAAATCTAGAGAAATGTGGCCTTTAACGTATCTGAATGTTTTAACTAAAAAAGTCCAGTCGCCAAATATATTTTAAAACATTACGTAAGGTTTTTAAGTTCATATGCTTTTTGGAAGCTGATAGAAAACTACTGTACGGATTTGAGTAATAATTGTAGAGAAATATGTCTCCTACGTATTTGAAAGGTTTCAACAAATAATATCGAGCCATTATAAAGCCACCAAAACTAGCTCAAACTACTTAATTAACAATTAGTAGACTCCCTTTTTGATTAATCCTTTTAAAACAAATTCAATATGATCAAGAAGACACATAGATATAAATAGCATACTTTAGAAATATTTTCAGGTATAATTTACGACGTTCTTGATAATGAAAACTTTTTACAAAAAAGCAGAATGTTCATAGTCAGATGGAATTTGCCAACTGATGAGGAATTACAATTTTGAGAAATCGTTGTGATGTCAATTTGAACTGATAACATTGATTATAAATGAAAAAAATAATTAATAATATCATCTTCGTACGGAGCCCCTAAGGCGCAATTGTAAACATATTTATTTATTATTTCGTTTAAACGAAATAATTATTTCGTTTAAATGAAATAATTAATTCGTTTAAACGAAATAACATCATTTATTTCGTTTAAACGAAATAACATCATTTATTTCGTTTAAACGAAATAATATTTCGTTTATTTCGTTTAAACGAAATAATTATTTCGATTAAACGAATTAATTATTTCGTTTAAACGAATTAATTAATTCGTTTAAACGAAATAAAAAGATGGGTTAATTATTTCGTTTAAACGAAATAGACGAAAATTAATTCAAATCATTGAGTAAAAAAACACCAAAATTTCATATTCCCTTTGACTATAAAGTAATTTTGAAAATTTAAACGTGATTTTTTCTGCATAATTCAGTTAAATGGACCGAAATGATCTCTAGAAAGTGTCATAACGTCAATAAGAACAATCTATAACAATTATTGTAACTATGTCATTTCACCAAGATTCAAACATATCTATTTAGATGTGATTGATTGTTCTTACTCCACTCTCTCTAAAGGAAGGGCAATGACTTTCTGAGTTAAAAACAATCTTTGATCTTAATAGGATTTATCAAAACAAAATATTGGTCAAAAGAGATCTGCTGAGATCGCAAATTTTGATAGATATCCCAGGTAGTTGTAACACGATTCGTCGAAAGCGATTATTACTACCACAATGTTTACAGAATAATATTTTGCCAATTACTTTTGTATGAATAGAAATGTCAACTCCAAAATATGATTTTACCTTAAATTTCTATGGATCCGAATACATTCTGAGACAAATAATATACTGTTGAAAATTGAATATTTGTGAAAAGGACACACAAAATTCAAAATTAATTCGATTCTGGGCTCATAGTTATCGGGGAATAGTTATCAGTGAAGAGTATCGGTTAACTGGCAAAAGCATTTGCGAAGATTTTTCGACTCTTGAGGATGATTTCACCAAGTAAGGTTGTCATACTTTCTGCAATACTCTTATACTTTCAGCAATACACTCATACTTTCAGCAATACACTCATACTTCCAGCAATACACTCATACTTTCAGCAATACACTCATACTTTCAGCATTACACTCATACTTCCAGCAATACACTCATACTTTCAGCATTTCTACCAACATCTTAAGATACTTACTGCTTCTGATTTTACAAGATTTCCACTGACTTGCAGACTGACCATTACCGCCACAACACCAACTACAGCCAGAACACCTCCTCCTATGATGTACTTCAGGAGACTTGACTTATTGCCAACGGCCTTTGGATTGATGGCGGCCTGAAATATTCAAGGGAATTAATATTATTTAATATCAGGTAATACAATGTGAGTATAATTATGTCCTTTGATGAGAACCTGTTACAAAATTAACTTTAGAAGATTTGAGAGAATATTATCATACCGCCGAGTCACATCAAAGGTTCAAAATTTGTTTCCATAGATTCATGATATGACTTATTGTTTGTCCAAATTTTAAGAACCAGGACGTAAATTTCCCAAAATGTGGCACTCTTAGCGTATATTATGAAATTTCTATTTTCCATAGATTGTGGAACCATTGGGCTGAAATGCTCAAAAGAGGTACATTGGAACCTAAAAGACTAAGCCTTCCAAGTATTTAATTGTGAAGTGAAGCAATTATGATTTTAGTGTGCCAACGCATGGAGAGAGAAAAATAAAACGCTGTTATAATTTGGAAATAATCATGTTCATGAATTTCTGAAACAGTCGCTTATCTGTACGCAACTTCACTAAACGTCTTGTTGTAGAAGCAGATAGCCTTAGAGGGTCAACGGGAGTAATTATTTCTCTACGCTATGACGTGTTGATGATATGGATGTAAGATTAATGTTTTGGGCATGTCATTTATTGTCTTTCTACTCATAACACTGTCACAATCACTTAGTAAGACTTGTATAACATACAATAACTTGTTATGTTGGCCACAGTGAATTACGTTTTAAATGAATTTCAAACCTGACCTAGAATGATGCAAATAAATTATACAGGCCGACCAAGCCAAGACTAATATTATGGGATCGGTATTCAAATTTGAGTTTTTTGACATATATGGAACGTTTTCGTGATAATTTGAATTGAAGAAGTTATCTGCAGTTTGAATCTTTAATTAATTCGAAATTTTGACTGTGCATCATGACACCTGTCTCTGAATCTTTTGGACTCTTTATACACCTATTTTCATATTGTCTTGATATGCACCCATTAACCCAATTAGGGAATGAAAATGAAATGAATTGAATGGAGTTTCACGTCCTACTTTACTGCACCATGTGGGCTAATACAGACGGGCAACGCTATACAGGATGCAATGAGGGAAATTTTGCCAGGACAGCGGCATTGGCCTGCTTTTTTTCGATTTCCAACTGTCGATGGATTTTTAACATGCACAGTCTGTAGCACATGAGGCCTCGGTTATTGTCCCATCTAAACGACTCGACGCTTTTCCATGCCAGCCCCTCTTACGTACATCACTGACAGGGGGAAACCGGGTTGATAAATCCGAAGGTATTATCTCGACCAATATCGGGATTGAACCTCTAGGTTAGCGAGCAAACGTCTAACTCACTGAGCCACCAATAAGGGAATGACGACGAAACAGTTCCATGGATAACAGCTAAAAGAGGTTAAGATTGTCCAAGGTTATATAATTGTTTACGTTGCCGTCAAGAAGGCCGAATCACTGGAAACGAAGATAGGAAACCATGATTTGCTATATAGTAGTATATGAAAATGATAACGAGCTCTCTGTAAATACTAAATGCTATGGTAAGAATTCCATGAGCTAAATGCTAATGTTTTTTGTGATCTTCTTGAATTCAAAATTTATATTATTTAATACAGCCAACAAAACAAAAAATTTTGAAATACAAAATGTTGCTTGTCAAAGGAAAGAACTATATTCAAACTGACAATCTGAAAATCCACAATCACATGGTAGGTTAATTTGAGGTAATCGCAACTCATATTTTTTTCTTCAAAAAACGAAATTAAATATTGAAATTGTGAAAAAAGTAAAATAAACTGTACCTCTTCATCGTAGCTTGTCATCTTGATGATATCTTGTTATTATAGAATACAAATTCCTGCTTCAAAAACTAAACTGGATGTCCAATTAAGATGGAACTTGGCACAGAAGGCTGACAGCACAACTAAGTCTCAAGGAGAAATTTGGAGGGGATGACCAGCACCACCCGACGAAAGATCCGATATGAAACGTATTTCAAAAAACTAGGATCTTAAATAGCTGTCATCTGTCATTTTTTAATGGGGAATTCGGTGCGCGGGACAATGTGTGATGTCATGATCCATCCAGTGTCAATCATTTTCTAAACGAAAAGTCGTTTGTTGAGTCTAAGAAAGCCCAAAATACTTTCGTGAGTAATTTGTCTTACTGGGTATATTTTGAGTGACAAAACACGTTTTTTACGACCACCACTTGCGGAAATTTAAGCCGTAAAACTTTGATACTAAATTTACAATTAATCGTGGTCTATAGTGAAATAAAAATCATTATGATAAAATGCTTCTAAATTTTTATATTTTTACATTATGAATTATTTTGACTTTTTGATCAAATCCGTGTACATCTTTCAATCATCTGTCAAATAGTATAATATTTATGTTCCCACAAGTGTCAAAAAAAACAATTGTAAATCTTTAAAAATATATTTTTTTGCACTTAAGAAAAATATCTCCGAAGTTACTACAATTCAATAAGATAAAGCAGTTCAAATCTCGTGCAGAAGTCCTAGTTTATCACCAGGACGTTCTGCATCGCTCTGATAGTACCTTAATAAACCAAGGATCTATTCGTTACAGGCTGTAGACGGTAACAGATCACTCAGAGGCTCGGCATCTCTGTCAAGGAATCTCCGGATAGTACCTTAAAGTGTTTGTAAAAATGTTTTCTAAATAGCATCATCTTGCACCATTCCAATTTTCAATCAGACGTCTGTGTTATCTGCAAGTATTTTATGTTTCACTAATCGCGAAGAGCCTTGCATGATACAGGCATATTTTGCGAGTAGTGACTCCATCAAACACTCAGAAATCCTCTTTACAATCCCTTTAATCAGCTACTGACTGAATACGATAATAGGGTAGCCAAGATGTTCTCGTTTATGGACTCGTTTATCAATACACCTTTAGGAATCTCAGCATCTCTCTCAAGGAATCTCCGGATTGTATTTAAAATTATCCAAGGACCCATTGCTTACATTCTTTGCACGTTAATTGGGTAATCAAGAAGATGAGCTGGTTGTTGAGCCTTGGGATAATCTGATTCCATCTTTAGGACTGTACTTATTCAGTCATAAAGCGTAATATAACATAACCACCATCCCACCCCTTTTTGCACACAAACATAAGCACAATCTACACCGACCGTTCTCGTCGTCTTAGCTTTGCACCTTCCCCATGTAAGGACATTTTCTATGTAAGTTCTTCGACGATTGTGTTTTTAAATGGTACTGGTGGACTTTCATCGTTTTAACGTTTAAAATGCCCTTCTTAAAAATCGGAAATTGAATATAACAAATCTTGAGAGAGGTGTGCAGAGGTGATCCAGGATCTCATAACTTGGTATACATATTGGGAGTAGACTGACTTATAGGGCAGACAACTGTTGGGATTGATATTCCAAATGTAGAAGCGCAGTAGTACTAGCCTGACATGAAGAAGTTTCCCCCAAGAATGGCTGAAAAGCGAATTTGTCCATCGTGCCAAACATTCGAATGGATGAAAAACACTCGACATATCGGTAGTGTCATCATATCCACTAACCACAGGAGCATGTCAATGAGACATGAAGAAATTTCCTCCAAGACAATTTAAAAAAAAATAAAAATGATTTGGTGAATTCTATTACATATTCAACAGTAAAGTTATGTAAAAAAAATCATATTTGTTAAAAAATAAAGGTGGGGGTACAATTTGAGGTGCAAACTTTTTGTTTAACTTTGAAATGCTATTTCGACCTGATTTACTATCGAATGAAACAGTATATACCAATCTGTCAACAGAGGACAATCATATATAAAAATACTAAAAATGAAGCCATTTTCAGAAAAGTACAGTCATTCATCAAGCCAGGTCTAGAGCAGCAGACAGACAAAAACTTCACGAGTTTAAAAAAAGTCAACGTTCATAACATCTTAAAATACATGTATCTAAAATTGGAGCCGTGCTCTCTTGCTTTATCGTTTTCTGTTTGTCCAATATCCGATATTGTGCAGGTGTATAGTTTTTACATAGTCTCACATTGGGAGTCGACGCAGATCTTAAAACCCATCCGTTTGAAATGTCTCGTGAGAGATATTGATCAGATCCTGTTGGACCTTGTTCAAATCTGATAATGCGACGCTTCGATTCCTCCATATATTATAAACATAGTTTTACCCTTCTATAGAAGCTACACCTTTCTTTAAATGGTGATTTGTTTAGACATATTAAACAAGGTGCTCTTTTACAGGCGGTTTTATATCAAGGTTTCCGGAACTTGTAACTAGAGGGGTTGAAAAGGGGTTTTTCGATTGTGTATGGAAGGCTATCTGTACGTCTATATCTTATTTTAAGTTGGTTGTACAGTGACGTCTGTGGTCATAATCATGGCATTCAAATATTATTCGATATGTATTTGGAGAAATGTTTCGCAAGATTTGTTGAGCGAGATTTGTCATTGAACATTGTATTTGAACATTTGTTGGTAGAGTTTTGTGTTTGACGTTTTGCATTTGAAGATATGTTGAGCTAGATTTGTATTTGTAGATTTGTATTTGAAGATAAGAGACAATTTCTATTAATTCAATAATTGGAAAACCGAATGTTTATAGAAGAATTTTCATTTTCAGTACAAATTAAGATTTTGTCTTAATGTCAATTTTCAGTGACAAATTAAGCGTGTAAATTAAGACAAAAGAATTAAGAATTAAGAAATAATGGCAAGGGTGAACATTGAATAAAAATCCATTCCGTCTTCCATAATAGTTACCTCGTATAGCATTTCTATAATAAAGGGAACCACGGACATCTGACGGAAAAGCAAAACAAACCATTAATAAATGCCCAGATATACATTACAATACTAGAAAATTTCTTTTAAATTGAGAGTCTCGAGATTTTAAATGATGTAACTTAAGAAAGTTTCGTACAAAAATGGTTGAAATTTGTCCATCGTGCCGAACATTGATTTCAAATAGGTGAAAAACACTCGAAAAATTGGTATATAGTGCCACCATATCCACTATCCTTAACAGTATGTACATTAGATGCCAATGAATTCTCAAGGACTATTCGTAAAGCCTATATCGCCAGCAATTAATTACAACATCTTAACCATAACCTGGAAATAAAAAAGAAATAGCCAAACAGTTTCTCGTAAATCAAATTGGGCGGTTTCACCCACTTGATCATAGTTGATCACTTTAATCAAATTCATCAAAAATGACCTTTTTTTTATTCGAATACCTGTCACGAAATGGTTAGTTTTTTAGTATAAGCTATTAGAACTCAAATCTGATAAAGTGTCATTTCTATACTTTTTTGAATTTGTTCACCACAAAAAAAGAAATCGCACAAGCAAACAAAATTTGGGGTACATGTATTTATAAACCGTGATTCGAAAAAGATAATACAGAACAGACCTGTTGACAAGTTTTACACACTGGAAAACAGTGGAACATGTATTAATTTTAATCAGACTGAATTAATGATAATTGCGTTCAACTTGCATCACAGAAAAAGTGCTGACCACAATACATTTATAGACTCTAATATGGCAAGTGATTCGGATGCAGAACCCTTTAAAGCTGTAAAACAGACTTTATTTTAACCAAAGAGTAAATATTTCATTTTTTCTTGTCCAGGACGAAGCCAAAACAATTTGTTTTCTTTTTGCATTTATTTAGACTTAAGAACTGGTACAGAGAAGTAAAATTTCGGTTATCTGATATAGTTTCATTTATGAAAGAAAATACCTGAAAATGTCTTTAGTTCGGATTATTGTCGATAATGACTAAAAATCGAGAGGGTATTGAACTATATCATTCCGCACCTGTACGTGTCCATTAAATAATAATAGATATAGACGAAGACATAGTATTGTTGATATATTATGACCCACCAAACCTAACCATTACGTTTTGAACTTAAAGTACTTTGCTTCCATAAAAAAATTAATCGAGCTAATGGTTACTGCTTTGGTAAGTAAATGATCAAATAATCTACATTAGATTACAGTGTAGTTTCTGTCCCCATTGTGATCTAACATGTTCTCTACCACAGTATCGTTCTAATGACTTTTTTTTTAACAAATCAAGGCATGCTATGCCATATTCTTGATAACAATGTCGAATTGCAGAATAGCAAAACGCATGGTAAAACAATTTTTGAGGAAACGAGCCCTACATGACACGCTTTGATTGGTTAAAATTAACAACAGTGGGATGGAACTCTGATAGAAAAACTCGTCGGATTACAATGCATACGAAAAATATCAGAAAAAAGGGAAAAGAAATTGTAGCTAACCGAGACTATGCGCTTTATGCATCACTGCTGGGAGCAGTTTGTTGTTTGTTTACACCTACATGTTAAGTTTAATTGATATGTAATGTGACAGGTTTATTGTGTATTGTTTAAACAATTATTATTTATGTGTATTTTTAATTCAAAAATACATAATGTGACATCACAGCACTATCGTCATAGTTTTGAATTATTTTAAATTTCGTAATATCCGCCCACTAGCAGCTTTAAATTTGAAATAAAATATTTTGCAATAGAATAACAATCATTAGTATGAAATATTTAACCTTCAATCATAATATACACTTCTTTTGCACTTATTGGGGAAATAATAAACAATTTCACCAAGTTTTGTCAAACTCCGTCTAGAATTGTGCCTTCTACAGTATTTAAAAGCTAAAAGTTGAGTGCGTTTTCAAGAGCAAGGGCAATAACTCATACTTTATTATTTTTTGTATTTTCAGTAGGGTTCATCCTTGAGTGACTACGAACACTCACATCAAGTTTTGTCAAAATCCGTTAAGAATTGTGCTTTGTGGAGTACTTACGAGCAATTTGTGGGCGTACGGACGGACATGGATGACGCCAATATATTTATAAGCTTATAATATATAATATATTTTTTTCCTATTATTAACTCCACTTGTCAGCGATTGCAATAAAGGTTGTCTGAGGT